CATGTAATTAAAAGTGGGCAAACCAGGATGACACCGTTTTATAGCTACCTAAACCTCTCACTTGTATGACAGTCGCATAGAATTCCATTATATTGACAACAATGTGTGAACAAAACAAACAGACATAATTGTGGTATTTCAGTCAACCTTAATCACTATAAAACAAACAATATGTCAACAAAGAAAAACAAAATGTCATATAGACACTCTATAGACAAAGCACATACGCCGAAATGAGATCATGAAATATAAGAATGTAAGTCCACTAATCGGGAAAAAGGAGAAACAAAATGGAAGAACATCATCCAACTTCTTTCTCTTAGGAAGCTATTTTTGAAAATTCCTTCACTTTCAAGAAAATATATGAGAAAGTAATACAGAAATGTTCGTACTTTTCATTGATATGTAACTATTCCTTCATTTAAGCCATATATGGTGTCCAACATGCTCATAATGAAGCACTAAAGCAACAAAGATTTGTTACTGCAATTCGAACTCCGCTAACAATTTTTCATCTCTTCTGCCAAATGCAAGGATTTGTATAGTATGTGTTGTACTGCCAAAAAAAATGACATAAAGACACATGATTGTTGAGTGTGTTTAGGGTTTGTCATAATGCTGATGATACTCCATGAATCAAATATTTTACGTATGCACAGGTTTTAATTATAGTTTCAATAGTATTCTTGTAAAAAAAAACGACACAGTTATCAAAAAAGTCATATGTTTCTTCAAATCAATGATTTACTTTACAATATTCTGTGAAAATTTTCTTTTTAGAAATAAGAATAAAAACAGTTTTCATAAAAATTATTCTTGTCAATAAAGGGCAAATTGACATAACACATTGAAAGGTAGTAGTTTCAGGCACATAAATCTAGTTGCTGGTATTCCGAGCATTAATTTGAGCCCTCAACCATATTTGTGCGTCAAAAAATGTCAACGATACAAATTGTCCAAAAATTGACCGATAAGAATGTTAAATCGTTAAGAGATAATGGGTTTTTGTGTTCATTTTAAGCGTATGTTCTTTCGTATGTCTTTGAATCTTTGGTTAGTCAACCTATCGAGATAAGAAAGGGGAGGAATGAGATACAAGAAAAATTGGAAGGGGTTCTGCGGAACCCTGTGTCTCGCCTGCGATTTGGGTTGTCAGTGTAAGCGTGTAATGTTGACTTAAAAGTGACTTCATTTATCAGTAAAACACAGAATCTTAAAAAAAATCTTAATATTTCTTGAGATGCTATTTTATGGTCTCGAAAGCTTAGCTTCTGTCCAAATTTCATAAAAATCCATGAAGGTTTACAAATTATTCATGTCAAAAAATTTTTAATCCCAGACTGTCTGTAAAAGTTTGCTTCAGACATTATCTCTTAATCATAGAAAAGCTTCTGACAAAGTTTAATAAAATTCTATGAAGGTTTGACAAAGTAACTGATATGTAACAAACTTTAACCACAGACCGTATACGTATCTATTTTTTTTAAATGTGAAAAAAACTAAGTCCATTTATCAGTAAAATACAGAAAAAAGAAAATAAATATTTCAAAATTTTGCTCTGAATTCTGTATTTTGGTCGTAACTAAGCTTCTGTCCAAATTTCATAAAATTCTATAAAGGTTTGATCAAGTTAATGATAACTGAAAAACTTTAACCACAGACTAAATCTGAATGTTAACTGTAAAAAACTAAGTCAATTGCTCTGGATATTTTATTTTGTCATAAACAAGCTTCTGTCTAAATTTCATAAAATTCCATGAAAGTTTGACAAAGTTATCGATGTCTAAAAAACCTTAACCATAGACCGAACCGCCGACGACAGAATCTAGTATCGCTATAGTCTCGCTTTCGCGACATAAATGTCGCAGGCTCCACAAAAATGAAAACCGTTTTGTCAGACCTAACGCCCCCAGACAAAGATGACCTTTGAAAAATTGTTTTATTCTGTTTATTTTGATTGTTTCGTCAGTCAGGATTTTATTTTCAAATATATTGTCCATATTTTAGCTTTTTAGACTGTTTGGTCTGGAGCGTACGTGGTGAAGATTGTTCCAGAAACACCAGTATTATACGCGTCTATTACATACGGCTATTTGTATTAACGAGAGAAAACATACATTTGCAATAGCAAACAGTGACAGAAAAGTGTACTCTTGTACCGTTTAACAGGACTTTGTTTTATGCTTTCATCTATATAAAAAAAATCAACATACGGTGTTTTTGGTGAATTACACGCTTTTGGGATGTGGGGTATTAGCGGTAACAAAAAGTGGGGACGTAGAATAAACGGGGTAAAAGGTGGAATTGAGGACATTAAGTGAGATTTGAGAAATACGTATCACGTCACCCCCTCTTTGTTGTTGTTTTTTTTCACAGTAAATTACTAATAAATAGCCTTTTGAAGAGTTTTTTTTTTATCAAAAATATATCTCTAATAGTTTGTCCATCTCAACCATAAAATGCTCAAAAATGCATTTTTTGATTAGGATATAATTAAATTTATTGAAGGTGCATACTTAAATACAGACAAATTTTACAAACGTTACAAAATCATGCGCAATAAAATTAAAGCTACCTACCTATATCTGACCTGTGTCCTATTTGCATTTTTCTAAGCTGTCAACATCTGAGTCAACCTTTCGGAATACCAGTGTGTCATTATGGATTTTCCTTCTTTAAGAGCATTACGAAATTATTTCGAACTTCTATAGTTATTTATAGGACGTACAATAATATGCGTATAGCTATATATTGTATGAAGCGTACATAAGTTGACCTTATTTACAGAAATTATTATTACTGTATAAATGTATTAGGTAAAATTGATTTCGTTATTTTTTGGCAAAGAATTCCTTTCATGAATATTCTGGGGGTTTATTTTAAATGAAAAATGGATGTTTCGTGTGTTTTAAAAGTTAACCAATTAATGACTTCTGAATGCCCCCAGTTTCAAGCTTGTAAGTATATATTGTCAGGATAACCGTCTTTTATATAAGATAAATCTCCACAGGATTGTCACTTTAACGAAAGTTAAGGATGATCGTTGTTTTCAAAAGGGCAAAATTGACTTAGTAGTTTGTAATCGGGTTATATGGATTTTACCCTTACCTATTTTGTTATATATGTGCTGCATTAATAGCGTTCTAGGTGATCCACATACAATACCGACCCCGTTTCAAATCCTTTTTGAAAATGGTTGTTCTTGTCGGTTGTTGAATTGATTGATTGTTCAATTTTGATTAACGTCGGTTGATGAACATTTCAAGTTAACCTACAAACTAATACTTTATACAGCTGGGTATTATTCGTCCAAAGCAATGTGTGTGCCGTTTCTCTCCATGGTTATGAGCAACTTATATATCTATACGTAGAAATCATGCTAGATATTTACTGATAATTATTTTCGACAACCTTTGCTCCTTGTTTGACTCTTCTTTCAAAATCACTCGAAGTAGATAATTGGCTTTTGTATGTAATAGTATTGCATGGTGATCTTACTTCTATGAAACAGCTAGTTACCACTGTTCATTTTTACTCCCGCGACAACATGTCGAGGGGCATATTAATTTACCCCTGTCTGTCCGTTCGTCCGTTGTCCGTCCGTCCGGATTAGGATACATTGTTTGTCCGGCAATCTCCTTCTACAGTCTTGGAGATACAGCTTTAATATTTTGTAGGATGTTCAAACACATAATGGAGGTGTGCATGGCCACAGGGTTTTGATTTTTTTTTTCAAATATTCTAAAAATGACAGGTAGTTGGACTTGGTAATTTTTTTTTTTGGTACTAGCTTTATAAAGAGATCATGGTTCGTCCGGCTATCTCCTCTTACAGTTTTGGAGCTACAATTTTAATGTAGGATGTTCATACACATAATGGAGGTGTGCTTTCCTATGGTCAGGCAGGGGCATCATTTGTGTCTTACAGACAGCGTAACAATTTCAAGTTGTATGCCAACATCACTGTTTGTCAAATCTAAAATATGTGGAACTATAATCATGCATATGGCAGAGCAGAAAGGGGGGGGGGGTCTATATCTAGTTTTTTAAAGAGGTGAGGTTGCGCGGAATATGAAAGTATGATTTGAATAGGGTTCAGTTGTGACCTATACAGCACCATAACCACAATGTATGCAACCAAACAAGACGGAGGTGTATTGATCTTCAACCAATCATTCTTATAGAGTGAAAACGTTTCAAAGAAGAAACTGTAAACCAACCATTCAGAACAAATGATATATAAAACGTTTATTTTCAGGCAAATCAGCAAAGCTGGGATTCTGCATGTCATTTCTATTAGGTTTTTTTTAAGTTTTACACAGAGAAATTTCTCCGTTGATCAGCTCAGTAGTCATTACTTCAGTACTGACAGGATTTATAACATACCTTTCATAATTTCTCCGTTGATAAATTTAGAAATTATGAAGAAAGTAAGTTTCAAACTCCCTCAAGCAAAGTTTTTTAGAAGGATTTGGCTTCTCCTTTTTATATCCCTTTTGGTCATCTAGTTTTTATGTAATTAAGGAATTTTACTTCCTTGGCATTCAATTTTTGGGGGTTTGAGTGTTTCTTATGATGGTAAATTCAGAAAGGTGCACTAGATGCACCAATTAGAAAGATATTTTCATTCACAAAAATTTGAAGATACATTCAAGATACATCTCTATCCTCTTCATTTGGCCCATAGATTTTGTATATACTTTAAATGGGGAGATATGTGCTCCTTCAGTTTTGATTAAAAATTCATAGCAGAGTAAATGGTATCTAACTAAAATTGAAAATTTCTAGTTTAGTTTCTAGTTTCTACCCCAGGCAAAGAAAGACAAAACCAGATTTGGTTTCCAAGTTAAGATCAATTGATTTTGGCCTTTTAACTGTTCGAGAGCCACTAATGAATTCTATATAGACAAAACAACCATCTGGCATGCTTATTTATAAATTTCTGTACATTGTTCATGTATTTCTGATTTTCCCATCATTACAAAAGAAAGGAATAGGAAATTTATGAATATAAGGTTTTATTGGTAAAATCTCAGATCTAATTATGTACAAGTATAATTATCAATGATTTGGTATAAAATATCTATAAAATGATATGTTCAAATGGAATGTATAGTATATCAAAGATATTATGTACAATGATCAGTCCATAAGATACTTTCATAGGAATGTAAATAAATGCTCAAAGATTGATGCATATAACTAAATATATAAAAAAAAATCCAGATATGTTTCTTTAATTAATTATCAATGCCTGAATATTCTAGTAAACAATTGTTTTCCATAAATAAAATATTACCATCAAAAACTATCAATAACCAAAAACAGTAAAAACTTGTTATCAGAGACAAGAGGATCAGTGTTACCATTTTCTAATTTCTTGATTTTTAAAGAATATAATCTCATTTAAAGAACCATATATATATATCACTTATGGAAAATGATTTATATTTAGATAATGCAAAAAAAATAATAACAAAACAATGTAAAAAAATTTGAATTTTCATAAAAGATGAAATATTGCATCTTATGATTTAACTAAATTTCACAATTTAATCATATGTTTTGTTTCATACGAAATAATTAGGAAAAAAACAGTTGTGTAATAAACCTCATAAAACCTATTGCATTTTATAATCTCTAAAAGTGATTAAAAAAATTATAATCTCATAAATTCCATTAAATTTAATAATATCAGCAAAATATTAAAGTTTAAAAGTGTCAAACATTTTGCAACAACAATTGTACAAATAGTTTCCCCAGTATCAATCAAAATATATGAATAAAGAAAAAAAGGTGAAAAATGAAGTCTGAGATTGCATTTTGAGGGTAAATTCTTAAAATTTAAATAAAGGAGTATCTCTTGATATATTGAAGACATGTGAAATAAGTTGAGAATCCTTTACATATTTTGTATAAAGTGAAATTAATTTTGTTTTTATTCTGGTATGGATGGCATTCTCATTTAATAAAAATGTTAAAAAAAATATCTCCAGATGTTTTGGCCTTCAATCATAAGCAAAGATAAAATGAATTGTTAAAAAAAGATAAATATAAAATTTTACAAATGATGTAAATGCATATAAAATCCATGTAACTTCCTTGATATATTCATTAACACTTGAATAAGCTCAATTATCTAGATATGTTTATTAACACTTGAATAAGCTCAATTATCTAGATACGTTTATTAACACTTGAATAAGCTCAATTATCTAGATATGTTCAAATTTAACTTTACAAATACTGTTAAGCTACTAAGTTCTATTCTTCTACCTCTATGATATTAAAAATGTACAATTCTGTTATTTTTTGCTTAAATGTTAAAGCTGTTGAGAAAAGAATCGGACATGTATTTGCAGTTATAATAAAATTATAAACATCCTTCTCATGTATTCATGGAAAATGTTTTTGACTTGAATATAAAAAATAGAACTTTTGGTCTAACTGTCAACTATATACATATATTTATTAATACAGAAGAAGCTGTTTTTAATAAAAACCAAAAAATCTCTCAAATATCGAGGAGATCCAAACTTATTGAATTTCTCCACATATACAGAAAAGTAAATTGATCATATACAAAATATCATAGTTATTAACAAAATCAATTTAAAAATATCGTTATATGCAATATCAGAAAATGTTTTACTATATTCAGTATTTTTATATAGATTCAAAAGATATAATCTCAGAAATAGATTTCAATACCAATGAATATCTCAATTTAAATTGGGTAATATATTTCTTAATTGGAATTTGGTAAAATATTCCATAATCTCTATGATACCATTGACCATCTTAAATTGGATAAATATTCCATAAACTTAAGGATACCATAAATATCTTAATTGGAATTGGGTAAAATATTCCATAATCTAAATGATACTGATAAATATCTTAGTTGGAATTGTCAAAATATTCCATAATCTCAAAAACAATAGGAAGAAGTAGAGTATTTTAATGAATAATAATGCTTACAATTTCAAGAGTATCAATTACAGAAAAGAAAAAATATTAACGCTGCAAACACAAAATAAAAGTAAAATAAATGACTAATAATGTTTAAGTAGAGTATTAAAAGATATGAAAAAGAGAGAGAGTGTGCTGGTTCTTGCAATTAATTTCATTTAAATATCCAGCCTTACAAAGACACATACAACCATTTTAGAAGTAAATATTGTCATTTTAGCTTTCAAAATTAAACTAAAATAAATATATGTAAATGAAAGACACCTTAATAATTACAATTGCAACCATTTTAGGGCTAAGATCTCTTTCTGCAGTAAATTCTAATGAGACACACCTAAACAATTTACAATTACAACCATTTTGGAGCCAAGATCTTTTTCCACAATAAATGTAAAGCAAAGAAAAAAAAAGAGTTTTATTATGGCACATAAAATGTAACAACCTCAGATTTATTACTTAACATGTAATATATATGCTATGTACATAGAACAATGAAGAGAAATGTGCTTCTTTTTTTCATCCAGGCCTTTCAGTGTCTCTCATGACAACAACAAAAAAAAACAAGTTTTCTTCGTTTTACATTGGAAGGGCAGTAACAATATACACTGTTAGTCCTGCAGTTTTTCAAGAATGTTTTTTCCATTTCTTATACATGAAAAACAACTGTGAAAGTACAGAGGAAAACTTTTATAGCTTTTATCACTAAAAATCTACTATGAAAGTGTATTTTACTTGATATGGAGAATGTAACCTATTACCTATATAATAATTCATTCTTTCAGTTGTATTTTTCCAATGTGGTTTCTAAAAATCCTTAAAATTGTAAATACAATTCTTTTGCACTACAAAGTTTTTTAACAGTTAATTGGAAGTTTGAAATATTATGATCAAAATGTACAAAATATGCAAAAATTAATGCCTGTGTATTCAGATACTGCCTTCCTTTTTTGTGTAGTACATGTTTTCATCTTTAAGTGAAATATAAACTCATGCTTTATTTGTACAAGTTATGGAAGCCATTTTGTGTCACTTGATCAGCACTTAAAAATAATTCTCATTTGCAACAATCATAACAAGTTGAATTTATAAAAGATGTAGTATCATTATTCAAAAGTGACACAAATGAAATACAAAATTAACTAATTATATACAATTTATGACATTATCAAATTTGATCAAAGTTTATATCAACAAGAAATGGAAATAGAAAACAAAAAATTGCTAATAACCACCTATATGGACTATGCATAATGGTTTAAATATAGTTTCTTTGTATGTCTTCAGTTTTATACAAAACTAGATGTTCCTGGAGTTTTTGGTGTTGATGGCTTAGTTTCAATGGGGTAACCATCAGCATCAAATTTATTTGGCTCCCTGATATCTACCTCTTCCCCGTAACTTGGTGGTCTATTGTCGTAGCTTGGTGTCCTGTCGTAATCTGGTCGTCTCGAGTAAGGCTCATAGTCTCTATCATCATCTCCATAGCGGTCCCTATCGCTGTGGTCGCTGTAACGTCTCTTATCATCCTCATAGTCATCATCATAATGTCTGTCTTTATCGTCATAACGCCCTCTGTCATTATAATCATCATCTCGCCTCCTGTCATAATCATCGTCTCGCCTCCGGTCGTCATCATCGTCTCGCCTCCTGTTGTAATCATCATCACGGTAATCATCATAACTATCGTCATGTCTACGATTATAATCATCATATCTGTCTCCATCATATCCCTTGTCGTAATCGTCATCCCTTTGACGATCGTAGTCGTCATCACCTTTCCTCTTTTCATCATCGTAGTAACCTCTCTTGTAGTCTTCATCCCTGTTGAAACCCCCATCATCATCATCATGGTATTCTCTGTCACTGTAATTATAATTGTCGTATCCTTTGTTCAAAGAACCTGAACTCTTATGGACAATGTCCTGAGTACTGTAAAATAACACATAATGAATCTTAGCTCCGAGATGATTAGTTAGTAAGCTAGAGGAAGAAATGTGCAAACATGCTGTATGTTGTGTACAAACAACACAAGAAATGGCAATTGTAATGTTATTTTCTTTTATCTTACTTCATACTTTTGGTGAGAAAAGTTTACCATTTTGTTAAATGAAAATAAGAATACATGAAAAGAAAAGTAAATTCAAGGACATCTTAGATCTGAAGAGTTCTGTTAAAAGTGGTTTTCTGCATTTTAACTCATTTTGGCAATTTATTTCCCTTGATGTAAAATGTCTATAGATTGACTTTCCTAATCATATTTCCCTCTATATTTTTGTTTATTGTTAAACAATCATCACTTGGATATTTAAGAAACCTTTAGGCAATCACCTACAATTTGAGGAAAGGCATTCATTGTTGCACAATTTGAATGGTTTTAAAGTGTAAAGCTATGTATCAATTATTTCTACCTTTATTCATGGCCTAGTTTTCACCTAATGCATATTTTTTTTTTCAGAAAAGTTTGCAGTTTCAAATACTTTTCTGTGAAGAATATAATTAAGTAAAAATAATGAAAAACAAATAAAATTTACTTCACACTGAATATCATCGACTAAAGCTCATCAGATAAATACTTCTTAAAACTATGTTAGTGAACTTCTAATGTTAAAAATGTGTAAATCTACCATTGATATATGTGTTTCAGTTAGTGACATTTTTTTGTTCTTGTTTGGCAATTCTGGAAAAAAAGCATCCAATTCCCTTTCCAACACCTTAAAATGAGTTTCATCTAACACAATTCATAAACTAAACTGCATGCATTTAAACATAAAAACATGTACATGCAAATCATTTTATTTATACATTTTTAACATGCAGAATTCCCTTAAACAAATTTGGTATAAAATAACATTACAACTGCCTAGAGGGATACTATATCAAGCATTAGTAGAGCAATAAGCTGCACAAAAAGACACAAACACACACACACACAGAATGGTTATACACAATTAAAGAATGGTGTAATGTATGCTGGATGACTATTTGTCAACTTTTTATCTTATCTAGCAGAGTAAGAAACTTAATTTGGATAAATTTTTCAAGGATTAAATTGAGTTATACTTGGTCTGACAAAAAGACAAAGAGAATAATAAATTTTGTCAGTATTTTATCCATCTACAATGAAAACAAATCCTAAGCAGCTTTTAAAATTTGTTATGTCATCAGGTTTGTAACAAACAAACCACTTTTACAGAAAAAAAGATAATTCTTGAATTTAGTGTTTTGATGATGAATTTCAAGAGAACTTTGACTCTTGTTTGGAAGTTAAATAAAAGAGCAATTCTTGAAATAGTTTTTTTTTTCAGTCAGCCTTTAATGTTTGAAAAAGAGATATGAATAGATAAAGATATACAGAATGACAAAAAAAGAAAATGAAGGACAAATACAAATGTGAATTGTGAGACATATAAAGTGGTCAATTATTTCAAACAGTCCCAAAGCTTCACTGAAAAGTAGACTTGTAGACTATTTGCGTAATTATTTTGCTACACAAACTTTAGGCTAGTAAACATTACCAACAAAACAATATAAAAGTATTACGATACTTTTTCATTTGTTCACGCTTTATTTTAAAAGAAATTTTTATTGAATTTTTTTAAATTTTCACTGTGAATATTCAAAAGTCTTTGTCGAGGTGAATTCAAACTGCAATTTGGTAAAATATTTAGTAATTGGTAACTGTTTAATATGCACAGTACCAAAAACAGAAACAAATATTTCTTAATTGTTTCTTTAGCTCTTCACAGATGTTTGTCTGTTTCACGAATAGTCATTTAAAGAAAGACCCAAAGCCAGTTCCAATATTTCTGAAGATATACTGAATTCATAGCCGTAGCAAAATAATGATGTAGTGCAAAATCAAAATACGAAAATAGGAGAAATCAAAACAGTTGTGATTCTATGTGATTAAGACAGTTATAAAGATGACAATGTTATCCATTTTGTCACAAAACTAATATTCACATTATCATAAACTTAGTTTATAATAGATTTTTTTCATAAAAGTGAAAAAAAATAAAACAAAAATAACATGACTATTCCTTTTGAAAATTTCAAATCTTTGTTTTTTTCCGTGTTATTCATTATAATTTGTATTTTATCTTATTTTAATATAACAGTAGTTTTATGACAAAATGGAATCATCGTGAGTACACAGAAAATGATGTTAGCAGAGGTAGGATGACAAGACTCAATGTAATTCACAGTACTCATATCCTTAATAAAATATACCAATCACATACAGTGGAATTGTCAATAAAGACCTTCAATTCTGCCATTAAGAGTAGCTCTTTCAAGGACTATATTTTCTCAAAACATATACATTATTATATAAATTATAAACAGATGTGAATGTGTTTAGTGGTCTTTAAAAAAGACAATGTTCCACTGTATACAGAATGGCACAAGAAATGTAAATAACTTTCTCAGTAAATGAAATTAATAAAAATCTAAATTTAAAAAAAACATGTAAATTTGTTGATGAAAAAAAATCATTTGAAACACCTTTAAACATTATTAATTTCACAGCAAAGAAAAAAATGCAAATCAAATTAAACAAACCTTCTGATTATCCATTTGTAAGTATTTAAATAAAAATGTAAATTAATCAAAATGATAATAACTATCGCTATAGTAACATAACTAAACTATTAATACAATGAATAAAGCAGTGCTTAACATGATAAGCGTGAAAAGTCCCATTTTTCAGTTCATGCAAAATGAGCAGAATACCAGCAGAGTACCAGTTTTATCTTGGTTAACCTTGTTCCCAGAAACTAGCTTTCAATTCATGCACACTATGCTAAGATGCCTCTTTCTAATGCGTGTTTTTTTACTATTTCAATTATCATCAGAAACGACAGGTAAATACTTCTATTTGAATGCCACAAAGTAAGTTCTTATATTTTTGTTGCTTAGTTTAATACATCCAAACTAATACCATGAAAATAACAACAAATGATCAATCAAAATTAAAACTAGAGGCTCTAAAGAACCTGTGTAGCTCACCTAGGTCTATGAGCATCTTCAACAATGGACTCTCTCCAACATTGTGGACTAAATAGAATTCATGACAAAAATCCTTTTTTTTTTGTTGATCTTGTATTGCTGATAATTTTTTCTGTTGACAGTTTCTCTCTATTTTCTTTAGTTTTTGTCCAAAACACAAAAAACAGTAAAAAAAATATCAACTAAGGCAATCACTCCTATAAAGAGTAAACCAACAATTTCTGCAAAATTTTACTTATTTGTAGATCTTGTCTTGCTGATCATTTTTTTCTATTTAAAGTGTCTATCTATCTTTGATAGATTTCAAGATAGTAGTCAAAAATGTAAAATATTGGTAAAAATCGTCATTAAAGAGCAGGTACACCTACAAGAAGTCAACTGATGATTTCCACTATTTGACTTATTTGTAGATCAAGTCTTGTTGATCGCTAGTTTCAGTTTCTATCTTATCTATTATAGTTTTTCAAATACTAGGGAAATACGCAAAAAAATGGTAAAAATCATTATCAAAGGGTAATAACTCCAATAAGGGGTCATCAGACGATTTCAAGATTGTTAAACTTATTTGTAGATCTTGACTTGCTGATCATTTTTGCTTATTTAAGTTTCTATCTATCTATAATAGTTTTTGAGATATTAGACAAAAACACCAAAAATTGATAAAAATCATCATTACAAGGACATTAACTCAATGAAGATTCATCTGACGATTTCGACCATGGGACTTATTTGTAGATCTTGTCTTAGTGATCACTTTTGCTTACTTAAGTTTCTATCTATCTATAATAGTTTTTCAGATATTGGGCAAAAACGCAAAAAATTGATAAAAACATCATTAAAGGGCATTACCTCCTACAATAAAGAGTCGTCTGACGATTTTGATCATTTGGACTTATTTCTAGATCTTGTCTTGTTGATCATTTTTGGTTTTTAAAGTTTCTCTCTATCTATTATAGTTTTTCAGGTATTAGGCAAACAAGAGAAAAATCGGTAAAATTGGTCATTTAAGGGCAATAACTCCTATAAGAAATCGTCTGACAGTTTTAAAGTTAATGAAACTATGTAGATCTCATCATTCTGAACATTTTTACCCCTGTCAGATTTTCTCCATTCATAGCGCTTTTCAAGATAATAGGCTTTTTAGGTGAGGTGAGCTAAAAAAGTGAGAAGTACCAAGGTAGCAATCAAAAACCACAAATTAAAGACAGACAACAACATGCCCAATAGGAAATAAGACAAAAAGACAAATAACAACCTAAAGAAACTGATAACTGAAGATTGAGCTCATGTGCTCCAGAATGGTTTGCAGTTGTTGCTCCACTGGGGGACCTGTCTTGTTGAACATGACAACAATCTGGTGATAACTTACATTCAGTAATGTTAAAAACAAAGAAAATCGATGAAAACTAGAGGCGAAAGATACCGACAAGATATTCAAAATCAAAAGGCAAAAAAAAAAAACTGACAATACCATGGCAAAAAACAAAACAATGAAAAGTCAAACAACAGTACACAAAACACAACTCAAGTTGCAATGACAAATAAAAATGTCCGCAGTCATTTGTGACAAATATCTCATCAATAAAACCATGATTAAGTTCCTACAGCGTTCAAAGATATGACTTCAATTTCAACATGAAAAACCTTTACTACAGCAGCTTCCCAGAAACCTCAAACACCCTATGAAGTAAATTATGATAGCAAATGCAATCTTTGCATGCCATATGAGAAACATATACCTACATCATATGCAGGTGCTGCTTGATTGTTACGAAATAAAAATAAAACTGCTTCGCTGAGCGCAGCTGGATATGCCCGCAGAGGTCCAACCCTGAACAGTTGGGGCAAAAAAGGACACAATATTCAAGCTTGATACAGGTCTGAATTTGGATTGTAATTAAATATTTGATATATTATAGGTTCTGAATAAATGTAGTCAAAGAACTTGAAATTGGTTATATGAAAGATTTCTTGCTGTTGTGCAATGCGCAATACTTAGTAAATCTGTTGTCTGAGAGACATATAAACAAATAAAATCTTATAACTCGGAAATGTAAAATCGAAAATTTATATTAATCAAAAGGGAGCTTACAAAAATAGATATAATTTAAAACAATTTACCAAAGTTTCATAAAAAATGCTGAAAGCATTTTTGAGTTATTGACGAAAACTGGAAAATCCCCTTTTTGTAATGAATAAAACCCCATAAATTGGAAACTTAATAGTCTGAAATTTATAAAAATCAAAAGGGAGCTCATGTCAATAGAAATAAACAATTCACCAAAGTTTTTTGCAAATTGGTGAAATTGTTTTTAAGTTATTGTCTGAAAACTGGAAAATCCCCCCTTTTTTAATGAATAAAACCCCAAAACTCGGAAACGGTAAATCCAAAATTTATAAAAAACAAAAGGGAGCTCACGTCAATAGATATAAACAATTCACAAAAGTTTCATGTAAATTGGTGAAATATTTTTTGAGTTATTGTCGGAAAACTGGAAAATCCCCCCTTTTTTAATGAATAAAACTCCAAAACTCGGAAACGGTAAATCCGAAATTTATAAAAAACAAAAGGGAGCTCACGTCAATAGATATGAACAATTTACAAAAAGTTTCATGCAAATTGGTGAAATCGTTTTTGAATTATTGTCCGAAAACTGGAAAATCCCCCCTTTTTTACTGAATAAAACCCCAAAACTTGGAAATGGTAAATCTGAAATTGATAAAAAACAAAAGGGAGCTTACGTCAATAGATATAAACAATTCACCAAAGTTTCATGCATACTGGTTAAAGCGTTTATGAATTAATGTCCGACATGTTGACGACGGACGGACAGACAGACGGACGGACAGACTGACAACGGTATACCATAATACGTCCGTAAACGGGCGTATAAAAAATAGAATTTCACAATGGGAAAACTTGTATTATTCTTAGTTTTTCAATCAAATTCCAAAATGCACCACCAGTGCACTAGTTTTCCACTTGTATTCAGTTTTTTTAGGTGTCTGAAAATACCAAGGCCAAGATTTTTGCTGTAGTAGTATTCTAGAATTAAATCCACAAGAAAATACACAAACTTCCTTCAAATTGCCACAGATGACCCTTTTTTAAAAATACAACATGTAAAAGCATTGAATTCAGAGAAAAAATGCATTTTCATTTTACAAAATGGAGCGACCAAGCCTTCCAATGAGATTAAATAACTAAAATATGAATTTCTGAAAACAGCCAGTAGCATTACAAAGGAAAAAAAAAACTTGGTTGTTGCAGCAAAAATAGCTCTATTTGCTAAAATAAGTGATAAATGTATCAGAAAGAAGCAACTTAACATTGCAGTCAGAAAAACCAAAGCAAAGCAAATAGCAGATCTAAAGGCAGTTGATAACCTTGAAGACCCCCGTCTTGGTGTTGGAGAATATTTAACATCCCTGAAATTACCAAACACTTACATCATTGTTAGTGGAGATTAAAGAAAAGGATCTAGAAGAGAGACTGTTTCTGAATATCCTTTGTAAATTACTCTCTTCTATTCCCCTTTCTATGGTATTACTAGAAAACTAGCAATTCCCTGTATTTCTGATATTTATAATATTTCTCAAAAGATTTGAATTTTGAATTTTTTATCAGGTTATCAGTAGCCATAGTAACTGTTAAGTCAAATGTAAAAAACCTGAATCAAAACTGTGATTTTTCTATACTTTCTTTTTTCTTTTTTAATTAAGTATTGTGTTAATTAAATGTATGTATGTATGAAAAATCCTGAACTTCTTATACTATTAAACTGTTGCAAGTTATCGTTAAAATATGGAATCCACCTCATATGTATAAGATAAATTCAAATAAAATTTTTTTTTAAATATACTAACTTGTTTTTACCTAATCCGACAAGTCATGCCAATTAACTGGTATTAACAAACTATGCACACATCCAACATGTATATCAGAACTACAGATTGACTGGTTCAAGAATTAAAATGGATAGCAAATAGGATACAGCAAAAAGAATAAAGCAATAATTCAAAAATAAACTTAATGCAATACAAATGCAGTAAACAAATAGTTAATTTTATCTTTTATTAATGTTAAATCTACCTTTTTGGTCACAAACAGTTGAGGTAAACATTAATAAGTCAATTCAATTATTAAAACCCAATACTCTATAAAAACAAACAGAAGAATGATTTCATTTATCATTTTTTAAAATTCCCATTTCTTGAATAAAAACATTTAACACCAGTATCATGTATCTGATATATATGTAAAACACTACACCAAAATACTATTTGCTGGGTTTAAACAGATCTATAACAGTATTAGGTATATACATGTATATTTTACAATAAAAGCACAAAAATCTGTGACCCATGAACTTACACAATCTGACCAATCAAATACATACCTTCTATCATCACCATAACCATCATGTCTCCTTCTGGGTGGAGCTACAAAAATCAACAGAAAAAAATTTAGGCTTCTTCTGCTTCAATTTTGTTTATCCTCATTTGATAACTAATCTAATGTGTCTTAATAAATGTTTGCATCTTATTATGTTCAGATTAATTTATAAAGGTTAATCATTTCTTTTTCATAAAAAAAAATGAAAAAAAAATTGCTATACAATTTGCTTCTGATATCTTGTATAATTTTCATGAAGTTTTAATATAAAGTTTTCTTACTCTCTTATAAAGGTATCTTTTCATCATGAATATAACTACTTGTCATTTTTTGTCAATACATACCTGTGTATGGTCTTTGTTTTTGTGGTTCAGGACGTCTTTTGTACAACAGATAGATAAGTACAGACAGTGCTATAATAAGCAACACGGATATTATCAATCCAATAAACCATCCAAAGTTGGCTCCCAAGCTAAATGCTGCAGCTATTAAAAAAAAAAAAAAAAAATATTGACTGTCCATACAAGGAAGCAGGAGTGTTCCCCTCAAATGACTACTATGTAGTTAGAATAATTATACACAGTAATAGACAAATCAATGCCAAAGAAAAACTGACATTTGATTTTCGAAAAAGTTGGCTGGTTTTTTCCATAATCTAAATTTCACGATTTCAATGACAAACCTGTTTGCATGATTTTGTTTTTGAATTGTCTTCTCTTTAATATTGATTTACAGAGGGGAAATTTATCCATTTAATCTTGGATTGTGAAATTAGCGAAAATTTGCCACTTAACAGTATGTCACCTGACCATCTATTCCCACCATCATACTTACGTATTCCTTTCGTTTTAACTACTTCTATGTCACTTGAGGCTGTATTTCCACCATTGGTGACAGACAGACGCATTTCATAAGATGTTCCTGACTGGAGATTAGCTATACCTATCCAGCTCTTTGATACTTCCTGTGATGACTGTTGCCAATCAGCAACACCTAGAAGTAAAAAATTAAAAATTAAAACACTACAGTATTTTTAAAAAACTTTTGAAAATAATCTTTTGGAAAATCACATTGGATTGCAATGCAAAGAATAAAAGTTTGGATACTTCTGTTTATTCTTGATACCTAAAACATTTGAATAAACTTTTTTTTTTATATGAGAAGTGAATTATTTGATTTATACATTTATTCGCTGATCTTCAAAATCTTTAAAATCTGATTCAATTAAATATCACATCAGTAAAATAAAAATAAACAAACCTTCTTTGCGGTATTCAACAAAAGCAACAGTTCCGTATTTCTTGTTTGCAATGGTCGTCCAGGTAACATTGAAGAAAGTAGAATTAACATTGATGATAGAAAATGCAGGTACACCTACAAAATATTTTTAGTAAAATAACTTTTGAGTTTATCTATTGTAACAGTTTTACCGAAAAGCCCTAAATTTCTGTAATCTGTCATATTTCCTTGTCATGTAAGGCTGTAAATAGCGGTCTAAAGGTAACACAAGATGACTTTACACATTCTTATTTCAAACATATGTGCTTTCAGAAATTGCTGTAAATGAATAATTCTAACAGAACTAAATTTTACTTCATGTGAAAAACGTGCCATTGTATTTTTTGCACTATAAACTTGAAATAAATTTCTAAATTTACAGTAATTAAAATTTAAAACTTGTAACTACCGGGTAAGTGAACTTTCGAAGTTTTTCAGACTTTTCAAATCTTAAATTAAAACATTTATGTGTTTAGCTTACTCATGCTTGCAGTTTTAGCTGTTGTTAGCTCCACAAATGAAGCTTCACCACGTCCATTTTCAGTTCTTCCCCACATATAAATCCTGTATTTTTTATTAGCAGTTAGACCATTTAGAACTGTAGTGTTACGACGAGGGTCAACTATCTGTGGATCCATTTCCTGCATTTTGCCAAGGTCCAATCCTGACACTAGAAGATAAAATGTTTACTTAAATTAAAAATGCAATGAATCTCTGTCATATTTAGCTGCTCTCTCTTTCTCTCTCTCTCTGTAATTATCACAAAAATGTTGGTATTGTATGATGTCTTTGTGGAGTAATAACATTGAAAATTAAATCAAACTTTATTTCTTAATCCTATTGTACCTCTCTATATGTGGCATGGCTGTTCCGAAATTGATTGTAGTGTGAGGGAGATGGGAGGCATTACAGTTGATAAATTGAGGGTGGTTGCATTTTTCTTTCATAGAATGAGTAAGAATTATAAATTTGTTGGGTTCTAAGAAAGTGTCATTTCTTTGCTATAACAAAACTTTAAGAGACTTATCAATATTATTCAGTAAGACACACAACTCATTTTAAACCCCTGCTGGAACCAGTATACGGATATAAAGTAAGGACATGTGGTATGATTGCAAATGAAACTATCCACCAGAGACCAAATGACATAGATGATAGCAACTATAAAGAATATACTACTAAGAATATATCATGGACTGTATACTACTTATCTTAAATAGGTGGTTCTGAACTGAAAGCAGGTGTGGGGGGCCTGATGAACTAGGTAGTTACTTTGAATGGTTTTACACTAGTCATTTTGGGGCCCTCTATAGCTTGCTGTTTGGTGTGAGCCAAGGCTCCATGTTGAAGGTTGTACTTTGACCTATAATGGTTTACTTTTACAAATTGTGACTTGGATGGAGAGTTGTCTCATTGGCACTCATACCACATCTTCTTATATCTATCATGTGGCCACATTTCCAATTTGACAACTGAAATGCTTCCTTCTTTGATTTGTATTCTCTAAAGAATAGTTACCTGTCTGAAATCCAACATCATATCCCTGCAGGTATGAGTTGGTTATAACACTAATAGGTGAATTCAAAAGTTCTGGTTTGTTCCATGTCAACTCTACAAAATTAGTACCAACAACTAAGGCACGCAAATTTTCCACAGGTCCTGGGACTGAAAAAGCAGAAAAAAATCATCAAGTAAATTTTGTCTTAATCAATGCATTATTCAAAATAAATTGATTGATGGATGAAATTCTTTGATAAAGGTTTCTTTTTCTGGTCGAAAGTGGACCTATTTTTTTAATAAAGAAAAATTATATTCATAAAATTTGGAAAGGGTACTGCAAAAATATTATTTTAACATCTTTAAGCTCCTCTGTATATTTTTAAACTTGATATGTTTCCTAATTTTTCAAAAAATGTAAACATACATATACCTCCCTTACCAATGTAAAGGGCACAGAATGTCAATAGCAATTGGACCAAAGACAAACTCTATTACCTCCCTTTATAGAAACAACTAGAACACAACTGCCACATCACGGCTCCATGACTGAATTAAAGTACCTACGCCTTACTTTTAGCCTGGATTATAGTATTCGTATTGTCATCTGATAGTCATGCTGATTATAAGGTGCACAGTTTTCTCTGCTTTCAAAATCTTTCTGTTTGAACCCATCGACCGGGAACTTGTTAATCAGTAGCAATATTAATTATGTGGAAAACAAAAGGGCCTGGAATGGTGTAATTTTATAATCAACACCATTATCCTATATTAGTTGTATATAAAGTTGAATTCTTTTATTTGTCGTTTTTACGTCATGATGGCTAACAAATTGAAAAGTACCTATGCCTTATTTTTAGCTTGAATTTTTAGTATTCGCATTGTCATCTGATAAAGTCAGGCTGATTATAAGGTGCAGAGTTTTCTCTGCTTTCAAAATCTTTCTGTTTGAACCCATCCAGGCTTTCTTACTACAACCACTCTATACTAATTGGTTGTTAATCCTGACTTGTGTGACAGCAAGTGTGGATATATTGCCACACTAAACTTTTTTATGAAGATGATAGTTGACCTACCAAGTCAAACCATTGAGCTTGAAGCATCATAATTTCCTTTGGTGTATATAAATGTACTAATAAACTGTAAATAGCAAAGAAGTGTTTTATATTTTATGATATAAAGCTGACCTGTGTTTTACTTTGGTATTTATTATAGTACTTTTAATGTTAGGATACATTAACTTTTATTTTGGTGGAGGATTACTCATCACATGTAAATGTAACATTTTAAGCGTTAGGATACATTTACTTTTATTTTGGTCGAGGATTAATCATCACATGTAAATGTAACATTTTAAGTATAAGAAACATTTACTTTTATTTTGGGAGGATTACTCATCACATGTAAATGTAACATTTTAAGCGTGAGGATGCATTTACTTTTATTTTGGTGGAGGATTACTCATCACATGTAAATGTAACATTTTAAGCATTAGGATACATTTACTTTTATTTTGGGAGGATTACTCATCACATGTAAATGTAACATTTTAAGCGTTAGGATACATTTACTTTTATTTTGGTGGAGGATTACTCATCATATGTAAATGTAACATTTTAAGCGTTAGGATACATTAACTTTTATTTTGGTGGAGGATTACTCATCACATGTAAATATAACATTTTAAGCGTTAGGATACATTTACTTTTATTTTGGTGGAGGATTACTCATCATATAAGGTGCTCATTCATTGGAGGAAGATTCGTTTTACAGTTACAGTTACAACCGGAAACTATATGTGACATAAACTATTGATATCAGTAACAGATTCGACCCGGAACTTGTTAATTATTGGTAATATTAATTATGTGGAAATCAAAAGGGCCTGGAAAGGTGTAAAATTTATCAACACCATTGTCCCATGTTAGTTCTAATTAACGTTGACTGAGATATTTACCTCCTCTTGCAGTGACAAATGACACAATAGCACTTGGTCCACTGACATAATGTGTATTCATCACACAAATCTGTGCCTCCATATAAGTGTATGGTAGCAAATCTTGAACTGTGTACATTAGTTCTGTGACAGACCGTCTTTTTCTTGTTCCATATCGAGACTTCAGATCTTTCTCTAAAACCTCATCTTCTCTAAAGGTTTTCTTCTTCATGTCTTTGACCCAATATTGTATCTTAAAGAAAGTCATGAAATCTTGAAAAAATTTCAGATTTTATATTCCCTAAAATTCATCTACCACACAGTTTTGTAAGGATTTGAAGACAAAGTTATGTGGGTTTTAGAGCAACCTTTTTAAAAACTTCTTATATTTTTACAATAGTCAAATCAATAAACTTTAATAACTAATTTCAAAAATATTCAGGCAGAAAAATATACAGATATCATTACACAATATTCAATAATTTAATGAAAAAATATGGTAGACATCCAAAATTTTTAGCCTACAATCCAATAAAGGATTCTTTAAAGCAGAAAAAATTAAAGAAACACATTGCAATCAACATTTTTTTTTTAAGGCCACCTTTATAAAATTATTTGTTAGATGTTGCCTACCTATGCCTCATAGGGTTGGGTAGATGGGTAGGAATTTATCTTTTTTTGGCCAACAACATGTTACATGTTTTAGACAAGAAAACAAAGTTAGAACAGGAAAAAATCTTTTTAAAAAAAATAAAATGCTCCGCTGGGGCGCAGCTTGATACGACCGCAGAGGTCAAACCCTGAACAGTTGGGGCAAGTATGGACACAACATTCAAGCTTGATACAGCACTGAATTTGGATTGTAATTAAATATTTGACACAGCATAGGTTTCTGACACAGAATGAATGTGGTCTAAGAACTTAAATTTTTTTAATTTACCAATTCAAACCATATTATTATTATTTACTTTTATATATAAATCAGAAATAACCAATTTAAAATGGAAAATTTTAAAGAAAAAAAAGGGAAAAAAAATCCTCCCCCCCCCCCAAATTTTTTGAACCCCCTTATGATTCATCACCCCCAAACTCAATCCAACCCTTCCCTTTGTGGTATGGTACCTTGCAGTACAATTTCAGAGAGATCCATACACTTGAACACAAGTTATTGTCTGGAAACTAGAAAAATGCTTGTTTTTTGGCCCCTTTTTGGCCCCAAATTCCCAAACGTTAAGGGCAATTACCCCCAAACTCAAACCCAGCTTTCCCTTTGTGATATGGAACCTTGCAGTACAATTTCATAAAGATCCACACACTTACACACAAGTTATTGTCCTGAAACTAGAAAAATGCTTGTTTTTTTGCCCCTTTATCACCCTAATTCCTAAAATTTTGAGGGAATTACCCCCAAAATCAATCCCAGCCTTCCCTTTGTGCTATGGTACCTTGCAGTACAATTTCAGAGAGATCCATACACTTGAACACAAGTTATTGTCTGGAAACTAGAAAAATGCTTATTTGTGGCCCCTTATTCCTAAATGTTTTGGGCAATTACCCCCAAACTCAATACCAGCTTTCCCTTTGTGATATGGAACCTTGTAGTACAATTTCATAAAGATCCATACACTTACACACAAGTTATTGTCATGAAACTAGAAAAATGCTTGTTTTTGCCTCTTTTTTGGCCCCTTATTCCTAAAATTTGGAGGCACTTCCCCCCAAAATCAATCCCAGCATTCCCTTTGTGATATGGAACATTGTAGTACAATGTCAGAGAGATCCATACAATTACACACAAGTTATTGTCATGAAACTAGAAAAATGCTTGTTTTTTGCCCCTTTTTGGCCCCTAATTCCTAAAATTTGGAAGCAATTACCCACAAAATCAATCCCAGCATTCCCTTTGTGATATGGAACCTTGTGGTACAATGTCAGAGAGATCCATACACTAACACACAAGTTATGTCTGGAAGTTAAAAAAATGCTTTTTTTGGCCCCTTTTTGGCCCCTTATTCCTTAACTGTTGGTACCATAACCCCCAAAATCAATCCCCACCTTTCTTTTGTGGTATTGAACCTTATGGTAAAATTTCATAGAGATCCATTTACTTAAACTTAAGTTAGAGTGCGATAACCAATGTGTCTTCGGACGACAACGACGATGCCGGACGACGACGACGACAAAGTCATACCAATATACGACCACAAAATTTTTTTGCGGTCGTATAATTAAACGATTTGCATTAAATTTTTTTTAGGTAGACTGCTTTTTAGGTGGGTAGGAAGGCAACATCAAACAATTAAAATTTTTATTTTTGGCCTAATGATTAAACCTAAATATATCACAATGCTTCCATTTCTTTGACAAACTAAGATCCAATAAATGTTTCATCTAACCAAAACTTCAATACTCTTATGGTCTTCCTTAACTTAAGGTCTAAAGTGTGATAGTGTATTTAATAATCTCTAAATTTTATATTTAACCAGCACTAAATAATGACTACCTTTGCAGTCAACATTCCATTAAACTTTACCTTAAATCCCCTAAATTTTCCATTAAGACCTGACTGGAGATTATTATTGAGGTCCATATCCCAGTTCCAGTAGAACTTGGCAGAGTTGTCTTCCATTGCTGTATTGTCAACCACGAAACCATCAACTCTCAAACTTGAATCAGGTTCTGTAATAAATATAGTTAATTATACTTTATTTGTTATGAATGCAATTTTGTTCTTCATTCAAGTTCAGTTATTTTTGGAAACATTATTTATTTAAGGGGTTTTTGAACTAATTGTTCTTACTTGTAAAAACAATAAAAAAAATAAAAGGAGAATGTGTCCGCTTGCATATAAAGTTATAATTGGAACTTGATCTAAGTTTTGTGGTAATAAGCATTGTGTATACCATTTGGTTGAGGCAAACTTCAGTTAGAGAACAGAAACGAAAAATTGCTGATTTGTAAAGGGGCATAACTCTAGAATGGTAAAAGATTATCACAGTCATGACAGAACAACAAATATAAGTTCGATTTGACTTTTTATTTTGAATTAGCCATACACATCAAATGATTTATCTGGTAAACCACACAGCTTTACTGCAATAATGTTCTAAAAGAAATTTCTCTACTTTCTTATTTGAAGTTCTAAAGATAAATGGATGAAATAAATTTTTTATCAAGAACCATTTTGATTCACTTACTACTTTCTCCAGAATAAATTGTATGTACAATGAGTGGTGCAGAACTATCTCCATCTGAATTGACTGCTTTGATGGTCACATTGTAAGGAACATAAATATCATTGGTCAATAACTCAAATCGATCATCCCTCCAGTTAGATATGGTTTTAGAATTATCATAAGGATTATTTCCACGTCTGTTTATTGATATAACATATCTGAAGTTTTCTCCTCCGTGTTCAATGGGTGGCATCGCCTGTAAATTTACATGTATAGCAATAGATTTTATAAGAACTACATTCGTAAGCACAAGCTTGATATGAATACTTTCATATGAATAATGTCTTTCCATCTTTCTGTTCAAAGACAATTAAATTTTGTTTCAAATATTATAATCTTTTTTCTTCTTCTGCACCTTTGTCTTTTTCTGCTGTTTTTATTTGTTTCACAACATGTCCATACCATATTTGGTATTTGATCTGGTACAGTTATTTCACTTTTGCAACTTGCCCCCATTAAGTGAACACTTTCTTTTGAAAGAGTTATTTTCCCTCACACTGTTTTTCACGCAGGAGTTAACAAACTCATTTTCTTAAGTTGTTTGTTACATCCCCAGAAAGATTCGGTAAATTTTTACTAAACTAATAAAGTGAAGTTGTCTATATATCCTTTACTATTATACAAGTGGATTGCTTGGGAAACTCATAAACCGTAAGCCATAAAGACCTAATCAGGTTTGATTTCAGATCAATCGGCCATATCTTGAAAATTGAGGTCAAGGTCAGTCATTGTCTAAATTTTTGCCTTTGCTTTTGAGTTGTGAGCTTGTCTCCTCTCAAGCTATAAACAAGCTGTTGAAAATATTTTGTTCATTGAATTGCAGATTTGACACATTAGGTCCAGACCAATTCTTTGCCTCTTTATAGGAGTTATTGCCCCTGATATGTTGAAATTTTAGCTTAATTGATTGTGTTAATTTAATTCTGTTTTACATGAATGCTTTTAGCACATTACTGAGTGAATGAATTATCTACCTCAACCCTTAAATGAGAAAAACTCGACTTATCAGAAAAATTGAATATTATTCAACTTACTATCCATTCTATAACTAATAAACTGTTGACACAGGGATATACCTCTTCTATATATAATTTTGATACTTCTATTCAAATGTAGAAATTTAAATAGAAATACTTTAACATGTAAACTATGCAAAATATTAAAAGTCAATGAACCATGACTGAATGTACAACCTAGCATACCAAGTATCATTAGCTTACTATAAGTGGTTTCCTTCAAACTGACCTAATCACAAACTTTAACATATATACTATGCAAATTTAAAAGTCAATTGACCATGACTGAGGCGTCAGGAGAAAAATAATCTCTATAGAACTGAGATTTGGTAATGTTTATACAACTACATATCCAATATCATTGACCTACTATTCGTGGGTCCCTTAAAACTGACCTATATGTAACAACAAACTTTAACAAATGGTTGACACCCCAGAAAACAGCACACCTGAGTCACTTCTACAATTTTCATTGAAGCATCACCCTAAGTCATTTTTCTTGTCAGCAAATCCTCATACATTCTCAGGATTTTTGTACATGAAAGCAGAAATAATATTCAAATAACCACCTATTTTACAACTAAGTAATTTGGCATTCATTCTAATCCTTGTACATTCTCAGGATTTTTGTATTAGAAGGCAGAAGTAATACTGACTAACTTACCACCCATTCTATAACTAAGTAATTTGGCTTGTCTCCCAATCCTCTAACATTCTCAGGATTTTTGTATGGCGCAGCTTTATCGGTTACACAAATATCGCTATGTTGGCTTGGATCACTTATTCCAATTTTATTGGTAGCCAACAGCCGCCAACTGTAACTAACACCTGGCTGCAGACTCAAGGTCATAGAATTATGTGACTGGTTTGCTGTTGCAGCAAATGCCCAGTTATCTGGTTCTATGGATGTGTTGTATTGAATGGTGAAGTACTGTATTGGTGCATTGTTAAATGCTCCCTTTGTCCATCTTAGTGTCACTTTCTTATTTATACAGTCTTTAGTCTCAACATCAACAGGAGGTTCTGGCTTGTCTAGAAAAGCAAACCCAACATCAGCTGTTTGCATGTGTAAAACTTAACTCAGAACTAAATTCTACATATGACAATATTTGTATAAAAACAGTCATGACACTATCATAAATTGAAACATTAAACACAATTTAAAGATAGAATCATAATCTAAAAAGCAGATTTTTAAATAAATCTGTTAAAAAATAAATCTGCACTGTTTTAATCAAATGTGTCTTTTTCATCCATTTTTTTTTTATTTGGAACAACGCCATATTGTTGCTATGTATGTTTGCTTGTTCGCATATTCATCCTTTATACTACCGTGAGATTGTTTAAATATGTGAATTGCATGCCAAGAGAGATTCCTAAATCATTCATTTTCAAAAATTGAAAAAAAATGGTTCAGAGTCAGTAATAAAAAACATGATCGTTTGGGTATTAACAGTAAACATAATTTTTTTTATAAAGTAACATTCTTTGTAAAATACACAAGTACCTTTGACAGTAAGAATTGCCGACGCTGTTTCCTGATCTAGTCCATTAGTTACAACACAGGTATACAGTCCTGAATCTCTGCTGATTGTTCCACTTATGGTTAAGGAATTATCTTGAACATTAGTGGTCATTCTCTGGTCATTTGTTGTTATTTCTTTTCCATCCTTTAACCAATAGACACGAAGATTTGCAACTTCTTCAAAATCTGTAGTTCCAGAACATGTAAATTTTGCATCTGTATTAGCTGTGTTTTCTAAATCACCTGGCTTTTGTTCAATTCTTGTCTTTCCTGTTTTAAAGAATATTTAAAAATTGATTACCAATTGCTTTGAATCAACAGGAATTAATTGCCAATTACAGAATGATTAATCAACCAGTAAGTCCTGAGAAGTGGGGACATCAGAAGAACAGACAAGGAGACAAAAGCAACTCTGAGAAGATATAACTAAACTGCCCATCCCAGCATCCTAATGGCCTGGAGATCAATACTTTTCTCAAGAAACTGATAAAAAAAACTATTGTTTTTCAACTAACATTCACACTTTGTCATATCACTGTTACAAACCTCCCAAAATCTCCTACTCTATGCCCAATGATAGACATTTCCTATTTATAATTTACTTTCAGGTGTAAAACTAGAATAACTATGTCTAACTACCCTTGAAAAATGTTGTTTTTTTCACAAATTCCGTACCAACAACATGAGTAAAATTTGTACTGACACTTGAAACCTATATCCCATCCTTTTCACGCTTTCTCAGGTTTTCATTTTTGCATTTTCACACGTCTTCCTCTATTTGTATGTCAGCTGTATTCTTCAAACATGAGGAGACAACATCATACAGAAACCTGTCATTTTGTGTTACAAAGTAGATATTTGGTTAATGTATATAACTTACTTCTCACAATAAGTACTCCCCAATCTGTAGCAGATCCTTCTGCATTTTCAGCAACACAAGTGAAATTACCAGCATCCGAAAGTACAATATTCTGTAATACATTAAAAACCAAAAATAGGTATATAGAAAAGATCTCAATATCAAATAATCTATTATACATAAATTATAAAGGAGAAAAGCACACAAATAAAATTGTTGTCATTACTATCATCCTCTATTGTTATTAAAATTGAGAATGGAAATGGGGAATATGCCAAAGAGACAACAACCCGACCAAAGAGCACACAACAGCCGAAGGCCACCAATGGGTTCTCAACGCAGTGAGAAAATCCCACACCCGGATTCAATATCTCAAAAGTAATCAAATGATTCAGTATAAAAATTGTAGTATTGTACCAGTAAATTATAGTGTATGAAATTATGCAATAATAAAACAAGAGTGCATACGCTGAAATATCTCGCCTGCTTTACCACCATTGACTTTATTTTGATAGCCCTAAATATAAAGTTTTACTAAAAGTATCACATTAACTTAACATGATCCAACCTCCAATGAGGTCAAGGTCAGATAAACCAAGCCAGAAATACATGTACACCTTACAATCATTCCATACATTGAATATAGTTGACCTATTGCTTATTGTATACAAGAAACAGACAAAACCATGAAATCTTTATATTGACCAATGACCAATGAATATGAGGTCAAGGTCAGATGAACCCTGCCAGACCAACATGTACACTTTACAACCATTCCATGGATAAAATATAGTTGACTTATTAAAAATAGTATCTCAGAAACAAACCTAACCAAAAAAACTTAACATTGACCAAAGAACCATGAAAATGAGGTCAAGGTCAGATGTTACCTGCCAGATAGACATATAAACCTTACAATCATTTCATACACCAAATATAGTTGACCTATTGCTTATAGTTTAGGAAAAACAGAATAAAACACAAAAACTTAACATTGAGCAATGAACTGTGAAAATGAGGTCCAGGGCAAACAAAACCTGCCAAACTGACATGAACATCATAAAATATTTCCATACACCAAATATAGCTGACCTATTGTATACAGTATTATAAAAATAAACCAAAACACAAAAACTTACCTTTAACCACTGAACCATGAAAAAGAGGCCAAGGTGAGATGACACCTGCCAGTTGGACATGTATACCTTACAATCATTCCATACACCAAATATAGTAGACCTATTGCTTATAGTATCTGAGATATGGACTTGACTACAAAGACTTAACCTTGTTCACTGATCCATGAAATGAGGTCGAGGTCAAGTGAAAACTGTCTGACAGGCATCGGGACTGTGCAAGGTACGCACATACCAAATATAAATATCCTATTACTCATACTAAGAGAAAAAATAACATTACAAAAAATTCTTAACTTTTTTTTCAAGCAGTCACTGAACCATGAAAATGAGGTCAAGGACAAAAGACATATGAGACAGAAACTTCAAAACATAAGGCATCTATATACAAAGTATGAAGCATCCAGGTCTTCTACCTTCTGAAATATTATGCTTTTAGTAGTTAGTTAACGCCGCCGCTGCCGGATCACTATCCCTATGTCAAGCTTTCTGTGACAGGAGTCGCAGGCTCCACAAAAATCAATTTATAAAACTTAATTATCACAAACAAATTAAAACAATTGTACAAATTATTTACCGATATGAATAAATCTCCATTTGTCTGAATCTGGTACCTTCCACCAGTAATTTGCTGTGTCCCTTTGTACCAGGTGACAATTGGATCTGGTTTACCACTAGTTTGACATGTCAGGTAAACATTAGTAGTTTCTGCTACCTTTAATTCTTTTACTGGTCTCTTGATAAATTGAGGCTTCTCCTCTGAAAAGTTAATAAAATGGTAACTATGAGGATTTTTAAATAATGATATAAAATATAAATTTGATTAGTCAACATGGAATAGAATGATTAATACTGTAAATTACTGCAAGGTTTTTATTAATGCGAATAATGTGACTGGGTGAATATCACAAAAATAAGAACTTGCATTCTGATATCTGATTCTTAAGCTTTTCCTGAAATTGCAAAAATCAATCTAAATAAATAGCATTTTTATTTAGTCTTCCAAAATTGCATAAATATAGACATGCAATAATTTCTGAATTTGCAGTAATAAAGAGGTGACAATAGTGTAACTATGTTCTAAACTCATAAATCCATTTGGATCATACCAACCCAAAGATAAAACCAGAGGGAACTGCTAACTCCAAAGAGAGAAAAGTTTAAAATGTCTAAAAAAAACATATCTAGTTTATACTGCTTAAAAATGTTTATATCTTTAACAAGAGTGCACACGCTGAAATGTCTCGCCTTCTTAACTAACTATTGATTTTATGTTGATAGTCCTAAATATAAAGCTTTACTACAAGTAACACATAAACTTAACATGATCCAAGAAAATGAGGTCAAGGTCAGATAAACCAAACGAGAAATACATATACACCTTACAATCATTCAATAAACCAAACATAGTTGAGCTATTACTTATAGTTTCTGAGAAAGTCTTAACCAAGAAAACATAACATTGACCAATAAACAATGAAAATGAGGTCAAGGTCAGATGGACCATGCCAGACAGACATGTTCACCTTACAATCAATTTATGCATTAAATATAGTTGACCTATTGCTTATAGTATCTAAGAAACAAACTTAACCATGAAAACTTAACATTGACCAATGAACCATGAAAATGAGGTCAAGGTCAGATGATACCTGCCAGACAGACATCTACACCTTACAATCCTTCCATACAACAAATATAGTTGATCTATTGCTTATAGTTGAAGAAAAACAGACCAAAACAAAAAAACTTAACACTGAGAAATGAACTGTGAAAATGAGGTCAAGGTCAAATAAAACCTGCGAGACTGACATGTACATCATAAAATATTTCCATACACCAAATATAGTTGACCTATTGCATATAGTATTAGAAAAAAAGACCAAAACTCAAAAACTTAACTTTGACCACTGAACCATGAAAATGAGGTCAAGGTCAGATGACACCTACCAGTTGGACATGTACCGGTACACCTTACAATCATTCCATATACTAAATATAGTACGGTAGACCTACTGCTTATAGTATCTGATATATGGACTTGACCACAAAAACTTAACCTTGTTCACTGATCCATGAAATGAGGTTGAGGTTGAATAGAAATTGTCTGACGGGCATGAGGACCTTGCAAGGTACGCACATACTAAATATAGTTATCCTATTACTCATAATAAGAAAGAAATAAACATTACAAAAAATGTTGACTTTTTTTCAAGGAGTCACTGAACCATGAAAATGAGGTCAAGGACAATGGACATATGACAGAGGGAAACTTCATATCATAAGGCATTTATATACAAAGTATGAAGCATCCAGGTCTTCTAGCTTCTAAAATATAAAGCTTTTAAGAAGTTAGCTAACGCCGCCGCCGCCGGATCACTATCCCTATGTCGAGCTTTCTGCGACAAAAGTTGCAGGCTCGACAAAAATCACAATAACAGACCTTGAATTTTATAGCATCACAATTATGTTCATTTTGATTGGACAATACCACAAATTTCAGGGAATGATATTACAATTCATGGTCTGAAATTGTTGAACACAAACACAGAGGTAATGTAACTCATTTTCAAATGAATGATTATGAAGAATTTTCTTACAGCTGCATTAAAATTGAGAAAATAGTATTATACTTTTATATTCCCAAGCAGAAAATTTTAATCTATTAATTAAATTGTTAACTGATCCCAACAATTTTCTCAATACAATATAATTAGTACTGCTATCTCATAAATATACTATGAATAACTTACTTATTGTTCTATAATTTTACTTACTTAGCACATCAAGATAAAAGTCTGCATAAACGTAACCATAGATATTGGAGGCATTACATTGTAAAACCATGACATAACTTTTTTCTATGTCCAATGTGATATGATAATGAATATTACATATGATATGAATACATGTATAACATAGAAAAACACGAATAACAATAATAAACATAAAGAAATATTTCGTGCAGTGGCATTCGCAGGCAAACATTTTTTTTCTATTAATTACATTGCCAACTGATGCCCACAATTTTTTAAAAACAATACTGCTATCTCCTAAATATAAGACAAATTTATCACTTTCAGTTCGTTGATTATACTTACTTAGTACATTAAGATAAAAGTCTGCATAAACGTAACCATAGATATTGGAGGCATTACATTGTATAACCATGACATCACTTTTCTCTAAGTTTATTATTGTTATATTGTGGTCATCTGGTTTCAAAAATCTTGCAGATTTTACTGTTGGATGCTTCGAATCTGTAATAATATAAAATATTCAAATCATGTATGACAATTAACAGAATATTTCATTCAATCTGATATAAATACAGTTTCTATGTCCATATTATTTTCCTAGCAGAGTCTGTCATGCTCTGTATTCTATTTGGTATTCTCAGGTTTTGACATAAGGAATTACACCTATAAACAAATTGATGGCAGAATTATCAGAACAGATAATTGAAGTGGTGTCAGATCATGGTCATTTCATTGGCTGTCAGCATAATTATCAGGACAGTAAATTAAAGCAGTGTGTTCAGAGAATGGTCACAGTACAGTATTTCAATCTTTCATTTATTCATGATCAAGGTCAAGTTACAGTAAATTGTAGATTTTCTTAAAATTTTGCATACAACTTTGGCTCGTTGAACTTTAACTGAAAATTGAAAAAAAAGTGCATTTATCTCCTCAATTTCTGAGATATTACTGATAGAATTCTTTCAAAATAGGTGGACATTTGTATAGAAAGCACATACAATCGGCGAAAAAACGTTCAACTTGTCATAAAATCATCAATTTCTAGTCTGTAGATTTTTATTGAAAAACTGTACGTTGTTGGTACAAAAATATCTGTTTTCATGATGTAAAATAACAATAGGGTCACAGACTTCCTTTGAACAGTATTCTTCATTCAAAGTGGTATACTAGTTTAAAAAATACCACAAAACTTTGAAATAATAATAATAATAATAATAAATAATAAAATACTTTATTTAAAGAGGGTAAAATCAGTTAGTAGAAAACTAATCTCCCCTGATGCCTCTAAATAACTCAAAATATTATAATATAATTTATTATACTTCATGTCAAAATGTCAGATTTTGATTGGTTAATACGAGGGAGACAATTTACTCTATCCCATGGCAAATACTCTATTACCATTCACAGAGACACTTGCTCAAATGTTTTCTCGGGGTAACAATCTGCTCTATCACCCTCTCAGCTATGTGTTATTTATATAATATACTAATGCAACTTAATATGCAAAACAAATGGTGAAAAACATACAGATTATAAGTGTTGCGTTTTATGAACATATTTCCTAAATGATGTACAAGACAAATATATGGATTTTTAGACTTCTGACTATAGATAAATTTCTGTGATAATCATTATTTCGTTGATTTTACATGTTGTATATGAATCTAATAATTTATTTAGCTTTTTTGTTCTAAAAACAAGAAATTATGATACCTTTGTTTGAACTGTTCTATCTTTTCTATCTTTTTTATTTCTACAAGAATACTGTTCCAAAGAACAGAACTGGAATATTGAAATGTCTTTTTCATAAAATTTGTTAGCGGACATGGTATAAAAAGACAATCATTGTCTGATGAACGCAAAGAATATTTATTAATAATTGTTACGTCATCATGTTGTAGGCCGTAAAATGTTGGTTTTTTTAAGTTTTTCACTACCAACAAGGTAACCGATTGGTTGATACACCAAAAACGAAGTTGGTGTCCCTATGACTATTTCATATTAAGGACATACAATACAGTTTCGATCCCATGATGATTTTTTTATGAAAATTTGCATACAAGCTATTCTTAACCTAAGCAATTCAAATATGTTATAAAAAATATACCTTCATGTGCTACTTTAAGAGATAAAAGGGGTTGAAATTTTAGACATTTACTCAAAATTTTGGTTTTTTTTTTACATTTCTATCCTTTGGATAGACACACATAACTTTTTTATTTCAACAGATAAACACAAGCAGATTTTTGTAAAAACATTATGAAAATCTTCTTTACACAAATATGCTCTTAATAAGTACAACAATTCTTTGGAAATAATTAATTTTTAACAAAGTTTCAGGATTTTAGGAAAAAAACAGCATTTTTTGCAGTATATTTATAAAATTTAAAAAAAAAATCTTGTTGACTTTTTCATTAAAATTGGTACAAATAATCTTCATATGTAATCAAACCTAATGCCATTTTAAGAAAGAGGGGTCCATGTACTTGTTTTCAAGTTAAATCAGTTTAAATCATAAAAAACAGTCGAAAAATGCATCTTTTCCTGATAAGCCACAGTTTGACGTCGCCAAAATAACATTTTACGTTAGCAACATCATAATCTCCCCTGTAACTGTATCGTATGCCCTTAATAAAAAGGAAATTTATGTATCAACAACATATAGGTTTTAAAGAAAAATCTATGGATTTGAAATTAGAGATTTGGTGATTTTAGGACAAATTTATGAAAGTTTTTTGCTGATTCTATGTGCTTTCTATACAAATGTTCACATATTTTGAAAGAATTCAATCAGTTATATTTCAGAAAATAAAAGAGATATAGGCATCATTTTTTTTATTTTTAGATATAATTTAACGAGCCAAAGTTGTATGCAAAATTTTACCAAAATCTGTGAAATAGCCCATTTACTGTTCCTTGACCTTAAACCTTTTTATGTTAATTTGAAAGGAAAATAAATCTACAATCAAAACTCTTAATAGCTAAATAATGCATGTGTATTTGAAGAAAACAATTTAGATTTTGGAGATTTCCTATATTGACATTAGTACTAGCTCACAATGTCGCCAAATTCAGATCACTTTAGAACAAAACAAATGAAGTATTGCATACCTTTCAGTCTGACATCATTTATATACCATTTTAGTTACAATGAGAGAAGAACTATTATTTTCTTTAAGTCTGACACCAAATATACCAATCTAGTTACAAGAAGACCAAAGAAGTTTTGTATACCTCTAAGTCTGACACCATTAATATATCCTTCCAGTTATAATATGAATAAAGAAGTTTTGTATACCTTTAAGTCTGACACCATTAATATACCAATTCAATTTAGGTTGTGGGTCTCCTGAAGCATTACAATAGAATGTCGCTGAGGCTCCTATACTGGTTTCTATATCTTTAGGTTCTCCTCCTTCAGCCCAATAAGGTTTTGCTATAAATAGAATGTTTTCCTAATAATTTCTTAAACAAATATAAGCAAACAAGTATGTTCTTTTGTTTACTTTGCACAATGTTTCTTTTTTTATAAGATTAAAGGAGTTTTTTTTTAAATTAAATGGCTATTCACACCATCATACATAAATGACTAGATAAGACATTTCAAGTCATATTAAGAAAAAAAATTAAATTTCTACCAAATTCTTCACAGTATTGACATCCATAATATAAATATGTATGCATCAAATTGAAACAAGTTCCATCTTGAAAAGATGGACTCAAATTTGAAGCCAAGTAGGATCCTTACAGCACCTAATCCTTTGTGATTTTTGTCCATGGAATAGAAGCTACATGTCTTATCAACAATTATTCTATATGAATATGATTATACTATAAATATTTCTATGAATACTCTATAAATAACCTATTTTACTCACATTTCAAAATAACATTGATATTTCTTTGCTCTCTTTGGCCACTTGAACTAGTAGTGAAACATATATATTGTCCTCGATCCTCTTCTCTCAACTGTGATATAAGCAGTTCCTGACCTCCCTGAGACAATGTACGACGGTTGCTTGGAATAGCACCAGTGTTACTCTCCCAATGTACTTCTGGATAAGGGCTGTAATAAATTATTTTAGTTCATTTTATAGTGGCATTTCAAATTTGAGTCTAAAACTAACACTATACCACATTAAGGCATAGAATCTACTATTCGCCACACCAACTTCAAATTTTTTCTCATAAAGAGCCCCTTTGTTGCAGAAAGTAAATTTTGATATTTATTTTTCAATATTAAATAACTTATGTCACAATTTAAGAAGATCAAGAAAGTTCTCAAGATTGGCACAAAACTGAAATTCAGATATCAATATTGTTTTCATCAATGAAAAAATTGGATGTTATGATGATTGCAAAATTAAACTGTTTAAAAAAATTTAAGAATAAATATAGCAAATTAGAAGCTTCATACAGTTAACATAAATCTGTTTCCATTTATCAATCCTGCTAGTGAAAAAAGTCAAACTTTAACTGAAATTGATCATTATATACTACTGTTCCAAAAATCAGATTTAATTTACACTGCAATCTTCATTTTATCAAATAAGAAGTGACTACCTGGTAGAACTAATAAACTGTTGACACAGAGATATGTCTCGCTTATGGGCATTAAATTCAGAAAAAGACAATCTGACGGACAGCAACATTGCTTATTAATTCAGCCATTGGACCATGATCTAGTGGGCAGGGCCTGAAAATGGTCGACAAACTGAAATGTACAGACAGTAATGTAATTTGATAGAAAATATCTTTGTTTATTGTAAGTAGTTCCTATCAATATAACTCAAGTATAGACATTTAAAATTGAAAATTGCTAATTAAGTCAGTCACTTGACCATGTCCTAGGGGGCAGGGCCTCAAAATAGTTGTCAAACTGATACGAAATAATAGCAATGCAACTTTATACAAAATATCATTGATCTATCACAAGTAGATCCTATCAAACTTACTTAAGCAGGAAACTAAACATTGAGAATTGCTAATTAATTCAAAGTCACTAGACCATGACCTAGGAGACAGGGCCTCAAAATAGTCATCAAACTGATATGAACTGATAGTAATGCAACTTCATACAAAATATTATTATTGATCTATCACAAGCAGATCCTATCAAACTAACTTAAGCAGAAAACTTAACATTGAAAATTGTTAATTAATTCAAAGTCACTGGACCATGTCCTAGGGGACAGGGCCTCAAAATAGCTGTCAAACTGATATGTACAGATTGTAATGCAACTTTATACAAAATATCATTGATCTACAGTATCACAAGTAGTTTTAAGTTATCAAACTGACGTAAGCAGAAAAACTTAACATTAAAAATTGCTAATTAATTCAAAGGCACTGGACCATGACCTAGGGAGCAGGGCCTCAAAATAGTCATCAAACTGATATGAACTGAAAGTATTGCAACTTCATACAAAATATCATTGATCTATCACAAGCAGATCCTATCAAACTAACTTAAGCAGAAAACTTAACATTGAAAATAACTAATTAATTCAGTCACTGGACCATGTCCTAGGGGGCAGGGCCTCAAAATAGTCATCAAACTGATATGAACTGATAGTAATGCAACTTCATACAATATATCATTGATCTATCACAAGTAGATCCTATCAAACTTACTTAAGCAGGAAACTAAACATTGAGAATTGCTAATTAATTCAAAGTCACTAGACCATGACCTAGGAGACAGGGCCTCAAAATAGTCATCAAACTGATATGAACTGATAGTAATGCAACTTCATACAAAATATTATTGATCTATCACAAGCAGATCCTATCAAACTAACTTAAGCAGAAAACTTAACATTGAAAATTGTTAATTAATTCAAAGTCACTGGACCATGTCCTAGGGGACAGGGCCTCGAAATAGCTGTCAAACTGATATGTACAGATTGTAATGCAACTTTATACAAAATATCATTGATCTACAGTATCACAAGTAGTTTTAAGTTATCAAACTGACGTAAGCAGAAAAACTTAACATTAAAAATTGCTAAATAATTCAAAGGCACTGGACCATGACCTAGGGGGCAGGGCCTCAAAATAGTCATCATGAACTGAAAGTATTGCAACTTCATACAAAATATCATTGATCTATCACAAGCAGATCCTATCAAACTAACTTAAGCAGAAAACTTAACATTGAAAATAACTAATTAATTCAGTCACTGGACCATGTCCTAGGGGGCAGGGCCTCAAAATAGTTGTCAAACTGATATGAACTGATAGGTATGTCACTTCATACAAAATATCATTGATATATCACAAGCAGATCCTATCAAACTAACTTAAGCAGAAAACTTAACACTGAAAATTGCTAATAAATTCAAAGTCACTGGACCATGTCCTAGGTGGCAGGGCCTCAAAATAGTTGTCAATCTGATATGCACTGATAGTAATGCAACTTCATACAAAATATCATTGATCTATCAGAAGTAGATCCTATCAAACTGACTTTAGCAGAAAACTTAACAACAGTTGCCGGAAAAGCAATCCCTATGTCTTACTTTCCTCGACTTTTGTCTCACTAGGCGAGACAAAAATCCCTTACCAATGCTTACACAATACCAAATAAACAGATTTTCTATCCTGAGTTATACTAATTTAATAATGATCAATAATGAATTCTATTGACAAAATCAAAATACAGGATTGATAGTATCATACCAAGTACCGTTCCTACTCGCTTATTAGTCGGAAAATTGGGAGTAAAATTCATAATCCAGAGAGGGGGGCCGACTAATAGACGAGATCTTGCGACCAGAGGAAAAATCCAAGCTTGAGAAAAGTGGTCAGGAGTGAATTTCCTGGTCAAAACTACGTTTTTGATTGCCAAACCTACATAAATCAATAAATAAAAAGTTTTTGTTGAAAATAAATGACTTCAATACTGTCTTTGTGTTTTATTTGTTCTTTGGTAAACATTTTCTGCAAATTCGTGTTGAAATTCTACTGTTTCCGGTTTGTGTATTGATTTTCATGGTCACATGGTTTTCCTATAAACCCAAAAGAAGAGCCAAGAACCAAAAATGAAAAGGAGATAACAATGTACCAAATATGTGAAAGGATGTTTTCAGCGGAGTTATTGTGTCATTATTGTGATATCATGATATCAATTCAATGCTTATAAATCATATAATAATCAAAAAATAATTTTAAGATTCATTCCCAAAATCAAAATATTATTCATTATAGTGTCTCAGGTAAACAAAAATTACAAAATTGATTGACAAGCCAATATAATCCATTGATAACCCCAATTAAGAGACAAAGAGTTGTATTCACTAAAGGTGTGAAAACTATCAGTGATAGGTAAACAGATGACACTAATGAGTTGGAGTTAGTTATTTTAATATATTGATTAGCTTCACTTAATTTTTTTAATCTTTTAATCATCACAATATAATAAGAATTATGAAGTGTACATGCTCATTTAACACCGAGTTATGTATGCTGTGAAAAATATTTTCATCAAGTGTTGATTGACTTTAAATTTTTCAGGTTCATATTGGTTTATATTCGCTTTTCTCAAACAATAGGTTGTTAGTCATACCCTACAAAATCATTGATGCATTACGTAAACAACACATGGCTAATCTAACATTTGAACAGTGAACAAAACAAGAGAAATGAATACATCTTTATTATTAACAGCAATATAAATTATCATGATGAGCATCAACTAAATTCAAACCAAACAAACATTAATGCAGAAATGAATATTATTCCTGGATTTGCATTGGTTTTACCGGCGTTCAGTTACTGTAAGCTGAAAAAAAAATGCCCAAATTTTGTCCGACTTATACGAGGGTCAAGACTAAATCCTTAGAATTTGGAGCTGAAAATGGACCCCGACTTATAGTAGGATCGACTATTAGGCGAGTATCTACGGTACCAAAATTTTTCCCACAAAAATTAATCACTTCTGTTTTGGTGGAAACCGACAAAATATCATTACACCCAAAATAACCTGATTTATGGTATATATATCTAAAATTTGACATCTTGATACTTACTTTCCACCATATATACATTTTATTCTGATAGATTCTCCCAGGAGCCCAAAGCTTTCAGATGGAGTGGCCCACAAGTAATGAGGTGGAACAGTTTCGTCTGTACCTGTAACATCAATCATATCATTGTATCATCAACATTGTCAAACCCAATCTTTACTGCTTAAAGGATTTATATTGAAATCACATTCCAATATAAATCTTTGAAGCAGTAAACATTAAAAGTTTTAAGCAATTAAATAGTTTATGGTATCTGCACCCACACACCATTTTCACTTGATTCTGTTTTAGTTGAAAACATTTCAAACAGTAATAATAGAGACAGATAATATGTTTGTGAGCTGTCTACAAATGTATATTTTATCTATAAACAGTTATTGTATATGGTGAACCTAAACAACTAAAGTAGTAATTTTGTGGTAGAGTAATAAATGAGTGGATACCTAAAGGTATTCACAGTTGTTTTTAAAAAAGTGATGTCCTGGTGGCGAAACATGTCAACTAATATACAATTACTCTGTGGTAATTTACGAGTTTTGTTGTCTTTCATATTTGTTATCTATAAATCCTAGGCTTCTTACAAAACCTTGAGCATACATATTGATACCGAATTGAGGCTTGTATAGTCCACGGTTTTATTCTCTAAAATTGAACCTGCCAGGCAGGGGTGCAGATTATACAGAATGATAAGCAAGAAATGAGAAAATTAGATTTCACAAGGTTTGTTTACGTTCCATCATGTTTGTTGTTGAAATTGTAGATGGGGGGGGGGGGGGGGGGGGGGGAGGGGGTGGGTGTAGACAATATACCAGTGCGAACTATACAAGGCTAATTACAGTACATACCTGAGCTTCCTACTGGTTTTATAACAATTCCTGGAGCATATGTATTTTTTCTCATGAAATAATTGATTGCCATACACACATAGCTTCTACCGTTCTGAAAATCAGCCTGTTGGACTGCTGTGATGTACAGATTTCCTGCAAATGACAATAAAAAATTTACATAAATAAATGATTACAAACTTATTAAAAACCTGGCAAGTGTGAAAAACATATTTTAAATGATACTTTTTTTTTCATTACTTTGACTTTTAGTTACATGAAAACTTTAATATGTAAAAATTTAAATTAATCATTTGGACCCCAATGACTTTCCATAGCTTTTTACCATACAAGAAACAGACCATTTATTTACACATGTTTATATATAAACATTTTAGAAAAAGTTCCTTTTCTTACCTTCTAAATCCATTGTAATTCTGCTATTGAAATTGATAGCTTCTATTCTTCCACCAGGTTTGGTATCTTTTAGAACCCATCTTATTTCAGCTTTGGGTATACTTGTTGGTGGGATACAAGGAAGCTTGACAGAATGTCCACGAATTACAGTTCTGACTGTGTCTTCACCATATGGGAAGGGTTCCAGCATGGCTTCCCTTAGATTTACATTGATTGTTGTTGATGTGCCATGTTCATTTATTGCATTGCACTGGAATATTCCTTCATCTTTGTCTTCTGGTCTATTAAAAACCATAGTCCCAGAATCGAATAGCTGGACCACACGATCATTATTACCACTAGGGTTAAACTCAACTTTATTTCTAGTCCATCGGTATCTGTAATAGAAAATGTTTATGCATATTCACAAAAATATACAAGTAATGTTGAAAAAGAGGCATTTTTATATACAAATGTATATCTAATTTAAGTCACTTTTGTAATTATAATTTACAGAGGTGTTCGTTCATAAAGATAGCATAAACAATTTCTTATGACATCTGGTTATTTTTCCCTTGAAGAATAAAAACTAATCCTTTTGTTACACAAATTGCCTTCCTGATACACTTAAAGTTAATATTATTAAAATGTAATTTTACTTAGAAAACTCAGAAGAGATGGGGCCTTTTATAGCCGACTAAATGGTATGGTTTTTTTCTCATTGTTGAAGGCCATATGGTTGCCTTTTATTGCTTACATCCACTTCATTTGAACTTTGGTGGATAGTTGTCTCATGATGATTATATGTCATAATATTCTCATAAAATAATGGAAAAATTCATACCGAGTTATTTTCTTACAAAACTACTAATACAGAATTTTTTTTGACGACTTGCTGGAGTAATGCACCTGGCCTATATCCCTTCTGAATAAGTCTGTTTAAAGAAAAACAAAATCAATACAATTGACTCACCATTTAAATTTTCTTATTAAAACGAAATGGGGAGAAAGTCAGATATAAATAACTAATTTTATTTGTAAACAATGTGTGTTATACTGTTCATGTATGAACCTGTACCAAGTCAGGAATATGACAGTTGTTTTCCATTCATTTGATGTGTTTGAACTTTTGATTTTGCCATTTTATAAAGGACTTTCCGTTTTCAGTTTCCCTTGGAGTTCGGTATTTTTGTTGTTTTACTTAATACTGGAATAATGATTTCTAGACTATTGATGAAGTTCATATGTTTGAAAAAATGTGGAGTCTTATCTTATTTTCAAGGTTATGGAGAAGTATGGTTCATCTTATCATGAACCCTGGTATAACTGTTTCAAATAGTATGCTAGATCATAGACAAGAGTGAGTCTATGTGTTAAACGTTTACATGCTACCAATATTTACATAGGGGTTGGAACACCATCAGCAACACATTGCATTTCTACTGTTTCTCCTGTCTTGTAGTACACATCAAAAGGAGGCTGTATATAAACTGCTGGAGGTCTGTTTGGTACTAAAATTAAAGTGTACAATGTATGTATAGTTAAACTGACTATGACAATCTTGAATATACAACATAAAATTCAAAAAGAAGGCCCATTGCAGAAATTGTAGTTTGATAGGAAAATCTTGAAAGAGACAATTATTGACAGTCAACAGATAAAGTGTTTTGATGATGCCTAAGTAATTGCAAGAAGTCCCTAATACATCACTGATTATTTATAATTACATGCATTTTAAGTTCATCAATTTCCATCATCTTTCACATGTTTTATTGAATTGTACTTCATCTAGAAAGATTGCTTTTTTAATACACAGTTAAATGAGTTTAAATTGTCTCAATTCATCCTAAAACAAAAGGGAAAGAGTTGAATGTACATGTATATCAACTTAGTTGTTAATGTGCTTGTAATAATTAAATTCTTTGAGACTTTTTTTATCTAAGTTCTTGTTCATTTATAGAATCTAGTGTTGAAAAAATTGAGAATGGAAACAGGGAATGTGTCAAAGAGACAACAACCAAACCAAAGAGCAGAAAACAGCCCAAGGCCACCAATGGGTCTTCAAGACAGCGAGAAATCCCTCCCCCTGAGGCGGGCTTCAGCTGCCCCCTACACAAAAATGTGTACTAGTTCATAGAAAATGGACGTCACACTAAACTCGGAAACATATAAATGAACCAAATTTTAAAAAAACATACAAGACTGACAATGGCCAGAGATTCCTGACTTGGGACAGGCGCAAAAATGTGACAGGCCTAGGGTTAAACATGTTTTGTGAGATCTCAACCCTCCCCTATACCTCAAGCAAATATAGAATAAACAAACACACAGCAATACGCACAGTAAAACTCATTTAAAAGAAGTCTGAGTCCGATGTTAGAATAGGTAACAGAAGAAACTAAGCAAAATGACAATGATAACATAAATTAACAAAGGACTACTAGCAGTTACTGACATGCCAGCTCCAGACCTCAATTAACTGATTGAAAGATTATGTCTTCATTGTATGAAAATCAAGCACAATCCCTCCTGTTAGGGGTTTAGTATCATACCATCATAAAATATACAAGAAGAACATAACCCGTAACAGTATCATGCCAACAACTGGTTTTGGAATAAATGTGTTTATTTCCGATGCAAAGACCCTATGAGTGAATCAATATTAATTCCAAAAAATGCCATCTTTAATGACCTGACAACAGTATCGTAACTTTATATCCCTTCTGAATAAGTCTGTTCAAAGGTTTGGTTAGCTTTTGAGGTGAATGACGACATTTTCGTGCTTTGTATAGAATATTACGGTACCATAAATGATTGGATGTGAAATACCTGGATGTATAAGATGTCTGCACGTTGATTTATTTTTACGAATGATGTCCTTGTACCGATGATAAAATTTAGTAAATGTTTTGACAAGTTTGTGATATCGAAAACCCTGGTGTAATAATTTTTCAGTAATACAGCGATTTCTTTCGTTAAAATCAAAACGTTGTTACACACACGAGCGAATCAAACAAGTTGAGATATATAAACACCATAAGATGGTGACAAGGGAACCTCACCACCTAAAAAAGGATAATTAACAATAGGAAATGAAATATCATCTCTCTTATCAGAAATTTTGGTATTAAGCTTCCCTTGAAAGATATAGCCATCAAGATCCAAGAAGGGGCAGTGATGTACAAAGGTACATGTATTTGACAATCCATGTTGATTTCACATACATGATGCAATCTGGAATTATTTTAGATTCATTTGATAGCCTTTTCTCCTATTCATTCTTTCATAGTACATTTTACTTAAAAATAATTTACTAGCAACAATTTTCAAAGGTTATAATCATGTATAGTATATATATACATGATATATATATATATATATATCTGCTTACCAGAAGACACAGTTACAATGGTTGCAGTGAATACAAGACATATGAGCAGGAACTTCATGATTTTAATCTACAAAAAAATCAAATTATTATGTTGACATGATGTGCATTATATAAACCAGTCCAGAACATGAAATGAAATAACTATAAAAAAAAAATATTGCAAATAACAAACATTTTGAAATCGATTGAATTTAATGATACCGGTTAGCTTTAAAAAATCTCCATTGAGGTTTTTGTTTAAGGTTATAACTTTTCACAACAGTTTTTTTCATAACAAAAGTGTCAATTTCTTTAAGTTTCCTTAGTCTGAGAAGAACTATTTTAGATTCCCTTAATGAATATTTTATTTTTATTTTCCTTGTTATACAAAAAGGGATTGGATCAATACAGCACAATACATGTATATGAAAAACCTTCTTATAACTAAATAAATGAAGAAATTGTGTCCATGGGACACATTCCCCTGCTTGTAATTTATTATAAATATATGGAAAATTCAGCAATTTTTCCATTTATAAAGGGACATAACTTAAGAACAGTAAAAGTGAAGCCACCAAAATTCACACTTAATCTATGACTGGTGGTAATAAGCATTGTTTATAAGTTGCATAACATTTGGTTGAGGGAAACTAAAGTTAGAGAATGGAAACTAATCTTGAGATGTACGGACAGGCTTACGGATGGACAAGCGTTAACTTAATGCCCCCTTTGTTGTGGCGGGGGCAATGAACTTTGAAACACCTGAATCAGCACCTGCATAACCAACAGATAAATCTGTTCTTTCTGCTAGCTTTTCATTATCAATGAAATTTTATGTTCCTCCTAAGGGAGACTACTAAAAATGAATCTCTAATGACAGGGTCAATTACAGGAATTGGCAAATGGATTATTTGTCATGTTGTAGTGATCTACTGCCTTCAACACTATAAAAGTTTATGCCACTTGCACTATACATGGCTTAGTCGAACTGTTGCTTTACAGTTAAATTTGAAAATAATGAATAAAAATAAATTAACATTTTTTTGCATAGTGTACATTTTTATTTTTAGCTTTTTTATATATAAGATAAAACTATTTGCACGAAAAATTTTCTGACTACATTTGTAGCTATACTTGTATTGGTATAAATTGAGACAGCTGCTTTGAAAAACCCAAGAAAGTCATTCATAACAATGCTCATGCAGTGGAAGGCTGTACAAGGTCTTAATAGTATGAGGAAAAAAATATTGTTGGTATATTTGTGCTCTGCAGGATTGAATTTTATATATTAGAGTGAGTGCATGTTTTGTGTCCTTCTGATCAGTTAGATTAATATATTTCTTTTTTCATGGTAATAAGTAGTCCAAATAATTATGACGCCTTGCAAGGCTATTTCTAATTTTTTTCTGTAGGAAGGTTTCACAGAAAAAAATAAAAAATAGCCTTGCAAGACGTCATAATTATTAGGACTTAAGGTAATAAGTTGACATTATATTGGTATGGGACCAAAACAATGTTAATTTATGTGTTCCAGGTAATAAATGGTTTGAATGTATTGTATACTGCATGTGCATTTATAAGATACAGAAACTTACAGATTGGAGAACACAATGTACATGTATGATCGAAAAGGGTCCCAGCAAGTGTCAAACTTCAACCGTATAGGATATTGTTCATTAAACTTACACCAGAATTTTTTTTATTTTTTGGACTAAAATCTTATTTCAAGGCTCATTTTAAAGAAAAAATATTGATCTTTCGGAAGTTTAAAGTATGAGAAGATTCAACCAAGGTTTTATGAAAATTTTTACTCTGAACTATTACTGGTAACATTTACTGAAGAAGCAAGTTGTTGACCTTGTTAGTGTATTAAGTATAAATATACAAATATATGTTTGTTTTAAATCTAGTCTCTACCTGTGTTATATAAACCCATTTGGGTGGTTGTTCTCAACTTCATATGTAGCTGTTGATGGTCATTCATACTGCCTTTTACTGGCTAGGATTTTTAAAATCAATTATGATGACCTTTTTAGTCATATCGGCCAAACTAATTTCGTAATAACAAAAGGAACTATGAATATAACCATTAGGAAATCAAAAATCATCAAACAATATTTAAAATTCGAATTGTTTACTGAAGGTAAATACCGGAAGTGAACACCTATTAGTTTTTTCTAATATTTGGAGAAAATACATCAGCAATCAAGCGATTTTAATGTTAATAACAGTCTAAGTTAGTGGCAGTGTTAACAAAGCAATAATGGTCAAGATACAAACTACAGAATGTTTGAAAGCAAATTTCTCTCACCTGTAAACACCTGAGCTTCAGGTCGCCATTTCTGTAAATTAGGTCATCGTTTTGTCATCTCCCATTCGGAAGTTTTCAGATTAGTCTTTTATAGTATACTAGAATCTAGAAGTCTTCCGATGATAAGTAAGTTACGTCCCCTTGATTTTCCGCCACTTAGGATAGAGAGGAGCATATAATAGTTTATGATATATCTTATTTAGCTAATAAGATATCTTCTTTTATATATATCTTGAACTTCATCCAAATTATGTATTATTTTCAAGGCAGCTAAATTCAGGTTCAACATATACATTGAGCTGCAAAAGTTTCTTATCATCTACATCCGATTTCACCTGGATAGATGCACGCTTGATAAAGCTAGTTAGTCTAGCGAAATATTGCGTTTATTTTCATCATTTTGTAAATATTTTAAACATTCTTATATTTACATACTAAATAGTGTGTTAAAATTACATTGTTAGGCAATCTATAATTTTATTTGTGTAATTGAATTAATCTCTGTACTGATTAATCCACACTCCCATAGATTTGTATGTCATGTGCTGCTATTTATAGGCACTTATATATATATATATATATATATATATATATATATAAGTCTGAAAATTACACCCAACAGTGTTAGAATTAGACTTTTATGCTGACAAATTTTTGTCCCTCAACGGGATTCGAACTCACACCTTTGATACACTACAGCACCAATCGCTTAGCCTCATGTCCAGCGCTCTAGACCACACGACCACATCCGCTATATAAAAATATAGCTTCAATAGTCGTAGTGTTACCTTGTCACGTAAGGCGAATCTAGAGATAGACACAAGACATGTGTTTTAAGCGTGTGAAGATGTTATATTATTATTTAATACACAATGTATTTGTTATTTGTCAGCAATCTAACTCAACAATTTTTATATACCGTATGGGATAATGATTCAATTCATTATACAGTCACTAGAAATAAGTATATCATACAAACAAGTCTAAGCAAGTGACAACCATACAATATATATGCCCACTGGATCTCAGTGTGTTTGAGACACAGGGTTAATACAAATATTTATATAAGTCTGAAAATTACACCCAACAGTGTTAGAATTAGACTTTTATGCTGACAAATTTTTGTCCCTCAACGGGATTCGAACTCACACCTTTGATACACTACAGCACCAATCGCTTAGCCTCATGTCCAGCGCTCTAGACCACACGACCACATCCGCTATATAAAAATATAGCTTCAATAGTCGTAGTGTTACCTTGTCACGTAAGGCGAATCTAGAGATAGACACAAGACATGTGTTTTAAGCGTGTGAAGATGTTATATTATTATTTAATACACAATGTATTTGTTATTTGTCAGCAATCTAACTCAACAATTTTTATATACCGTATGGGATAATGATTCAATTCATTATACAGTCACTAGAAATAAGTATATCATACAAACAAGTCTAAGCAAGTGACAACCATACAATATATATGCCCACTGGATCTCAGTGTGTTTGAGACACAGGGTTAATACAAATATTTATATAAGTCTGAAAATTACACCCAACAGTGTTAGAATTAGACTTTTATGCTGACAAATTTTTGTCCCTCAACGGGATTCGAACTCACACCTTTGATACACTACAGCACCAATCGCTTAGCCTCATGTCCAGCGCTCTAGACCACACGACCACATCCGCTATATAAAAATATAGCTTCAATAGTCGTAGTGTTACCTTGTCACGTAAGGCGAATCTAGAGATAGACACAAGACATGTGTTTTAAGCGTGTGAAGATGTTATATTATTATTTAATACACAATGTATTTGTTATTTGTCAGCAATCTAACTCAACAATTTTTATATACCGTATGGGATAATGATTCAATTCATTATACAGTCACTAGAAATAAGTATATCATACAAACAAGTCTAAGCAAGTGACAACCATACAATATATATGCCCACTGGATCTCAGTGTGTTTGAGACACAGGGTTAATACAAATATTTATATAAGTCTGAAAATTACACCCAACAGTGTTAGAATTAGACTTTTATGCTGACAAATTTTTGTCCCTCAACGGGATTCGAACTCACACCTTTGATACACTACAGCACCAATCGCTTAGCCTCATGTCCAGCGCTCTAGACCACACGACCACATCCGCTATATAAAAATATAGCTTCAATAGTCGTAGTGTTACCTTGTCACGTAAGGCGAATCTAGAGATAGACACAAGACATGTGTTTTAAGCGTGTGAAGATGTTATATTATTATTTAATACACAATGTATTTGTTATTTGTCAGCAATCTAACTCAACAATTTTTATATACCGTATGGGATAATGATTCAATTCATTATACAGTCACTAGAAATAAGTATATCATACAAACAAGTCTAAGCAAGTGACAACCATACAATATATATGCCCACTGGATCTCAGTGTGTTTGAGACACAGGGTTAATACAAATATTTATATAAGTCTGAAAATTACACCCAACAGTGTTAGAATTAGACTTTTATGCTGACAAATTTTTGTCCCTCAACGGGATTCGAACTCACACCTTTGATACACTACAGCACCAATCGCTTAGCCTCATGTCCAGCGCTCTAGACCACACGACCACATCCGCTATATAAAAATATAGCTTCAATAGTCGTAGTGTTACCTTGTCACGTAAGGCGAATCTAGAGATAGACACAAGACATGTGTTTTAAGCGTGTGAAGATGTTATATTATTATTTAATACACAATGTATTTGTTATTTGTCAGCAATCTAACTCAACAATTTTTATATACCGTATGGGATAATGATTCAATTCATTATACAGTCACTAGAAATAAGTATATCATACAAACAAGTCTAAGCAAGTGACAACCATACAATATATATGCCCACTGGATCTCAGTGTGTTTGAGACACAGGGTTAATACAAATATTTATATAAGTCTGAAAATTACACCCAACAGTGTTAGAATTAGACTTTTATGCTGACAAATTTTTGTCCCTCAACGGGATTCGAACTCACACCTTTGATACACTACAGCACCAATCGCTTAGCCTCATGTCCAGCGCTCTAGACCACACGACCACATCCGCTATATAAAAATATAGCTTCAATAGTCGTAGTGTTACCTTGTCACGTAAGGCGAATCTAGAGATAGACACAAGACATGTGTTTTAAGCGTGTGAAGATGTTATATTATTATTTAATACACAATGTATTTGTTATTTGTCAGCAATCTAACTCAACAATTTTTATATACCGTATGGGATAATGATTCAATTCATTATACAGTCACTAGAAATAAGTATATCATACAAACAAGTCTAAGCAAGTGACAACCATACAATATATATGCCCACTGGATCTCAGTGTGTTTGAGACACAGGGTTAATACAAATATTTATATAAGTCTGAAAATTACACCCAACAGTGTTAGAATTAGACTTTTATGCTGACAAATTTTTGTCCCTCAACGGGATTCGAACTCACACCTTTGATACACTACAGCACCAATCGCTTAGCCTCATGTCCAGCGCTCTAGACCACACGACCACATCCGCTATATAAAAATATAGCTTCAATAGTCGTAGTGTTACCTTGTCACGTAAGGCGAATCTAGAGATAGACACAAGACATGTGTTTTAAGCGTGTGAAGATGTTATATTATTATTTAATACACAATGTATTTGTTATTTGTCAGCAATCTAACTCAACAATTTTTATATACCGTATGGGATAATGATTCAATTCATTATACAGTCACTAGAAATAAGTATATCATACAAACAAGTCTAAGCAAGTGACAACCATACAATATATATGCCCACTGGATCTCAGTGTGTTTGAGACACAGGGTTAATACAAATATTTATATAAGTCTGAAAATTACACCCAACAGTGTTAGAATTAGACTTTTATGCTGACAAATTTTTGTCCCTCAACGGGATTCGAACTCACACCTTTGATACACTACAGCACCAATCGCTTAGCCTCATGTCCAGCGCTCTAGACCACACGACCACATCCGCTATATAAAAATATAGCTTCAATAGTCGTAGTGTTACCTTGTCACGTAAGGCGAATCTAGAGATAGACACAAGACATGTGTTTTAAGCGTGTGAAGATGTTATATTATTATTTAATACACAATGTATTTGTTATTTGTCAGCAATCTAACTCAACAATTTTTATATACCGTATGGGATAATGATTCAATTCATTATACAGTCACTAGAAATAAGTATATCGTACAAACAAGTCTAAGCAAGTGACAACCATACAATATATATGCCCACTGGATCTCAGTGTGTTTGAGACACAGGGTTAATACAAATATTTATATAAGTCTGAAAATTACACCCAACAGTGTTAGAATTAGACTTTTATGCTGACAAATTTTTGTCCCTCAACGGGATTCGAACTCACACCTTTGATACACTACAGCACCAATCGCTTAGCCTCATGTCCAGCGCTCTAGACCACACGACCACATCCGCTATATAAAAATATAGCTTCAATAGTCGTAGTGTTACCTTGTCACGTAAGGCGAATCTAGAGATAGACACAAGACATGTGTTTTAAGCGTGTGAAGATGTTATATTATTATTTAATACACAATGTATTTGTTATTTGTCAGCAATCTAACTCAACAATTTTTATATACCGTATGGGATAATGATTCAATTCATATATATATGATATCTTATTAAGTTTATAAAATATAGATATCTTCAATAAGTTTATAAGATATCTCAATATGTTTATAAGATATCATATTTGATATATAAGATATCTTTATTGAAATATATGATTAAAAGATATCTTATTTAGTTTATAAGACATCTCTATTATTTCATAAGATATATTATAGTCAATAAGATATCTATATTAGTTTATAAGATAAATTATAGTCAATAAGATATCTCTATTAGTTTAAACAATATCTCTATTAGTTTATAAGATATCTCAATTAATTTAAATAATATATCTAATTTAATATAAAAGATATATAATTTGATAAATAAGATATGGGATTCAGGAAATCAAACTTTAATGAA